GAAAACTTGAAGTAAAAGTATTATACGGGTTCACTCATATTCAAGCGAGAAAACACTCTAATAAGATCTGATTCGTAATATTTACTGTTACTGTCAATTTCAGTCTCAATCATGCATTTCACAGGGTCATGCTTGAAAATGATTTGCCCATTACCCTCTCTTGACTCGTTAGTTACATATCTATAGTCCGTTAGTGCTTCAATGTCTGATAGCACGAAATCACGAGTAACTACAAAATAGTCAATACGTGTAGACCGATTTCCTAGTTCGTAGGTGTAATATCTCCAACAGTCTGAACCAATGACTATATTTTTGATTTTTTCCAGAGCAATGTTRAAATCCCCGGCCAAGATGATTGGCAATTTTGTTCTCGAATGCACTTGCGAGAGGACGGATAAAAGGTCGCGTACTTTTTGTTCCTTTTTATCACAATCTAAACCTTTGTACTCTCCATGCCATGATATTACAACGAATTTTTCGTCAGACAAGTCATAACTTAGCACAGCAAAGCTTGATCGTTTCTTGAATGTCGTATAGTCTAGTAGACTTCCTTCGACGCCACTGAGCCTTTCAAATTCGTTTTCAAATTCGTTCATTAAATCAGTTTCAACTTCACTGAATTCATTTTTAAGATAAAATACTTCACAATTGTTGACTTTTTTATCAGCATTTCTGTAAGCCACAGACTTGTAATCGCGTTTATTAAACTTTCCTGTGATATGTTTGAACATGTTATCTTTAACCCATGGATGTTCCTGTATAAATAGTAAGGAAGGACGATGCTCGTCCACGAATTTCTTTATGATTTCCTTCCTGTTATCTKCACTACCAGCTCCGCCGATGTTAAAAGTAACCATTGAAAACATCTTTACACATAAAACCTAACCTTTGTAATTCCTGGAAAATTCAGTATCAGAACAAGATGATAGTTCGGCTGTTTGGCTGTAAATGTCTTTGATAGTCGAATTTCAAAATATTTGTGAGCCATTTCATATTTACATAAACTCTTTCAACGGAAGAATGATTCATGTTATGATTCTATGCATGAGGTTCAAAATGTCAAGAACACCAAGAAGATTTATTGAATATTTGATTATAATTGAGCAGAGATGTAAAATAAATATTTTAATTTTTGAGGATAAGAGTCAGTAGTGTTGTTTCAATATTTAATCATTCTATTCATACAGCCGAATTTCAGAAAACGTCACACTACACTGTATAATGTATTCCAATGTATAAATGCATAGCAAGTCTCATTATTAATACCGCTGTACAAAAATATAAACCACATGCAGCGATGGAGAGATGAACTGTTTGTAAGTGTCGTTTGTTTGTAATTTTTGTAGCTGTATCTTTGTTTTTTGTTTTTTATTGTAGTCATATAATTGTTCATTGGTTGTTCATTTAGCGAATCGCGCAACAATAAAGTGAGAATACTAAACCTCAAGCGACAATTAAACGACAATTATAAACTTTCTAGTACATTCAACAAAATAATACATTTTCATTGGTCGAGAGGAGTGTAAAATTGACTACCAATCAAAACACAGACAAGTGTGACATCACAGAGGAGTTTTCCCGCCAAAAAATACGAATTTAAATGTACTTCAAAAACCGTCTTCCTATTCGAAGCCAATTTATGAAAATTCGACACCTTTTTCACAGTGCTTATAAAGTTATATTACTGAAGCTTAAAACGTCGGAATTGTGGACAAAAAATCATCGGTCGTTTGCATCGTTTCCTAAGAAGTTGGCGCACGCATACCCAAATGCAAAAAGCGATAATTACTGATTTATCGTCTCCAAACCTAAAACATGGTCTTTGTGTCTGTCTTTTTCAAACAAATGCTACAAATGCTGTGAAAAAATCGTGAAACTGAAAGATAGTTTTTGGCCTAAGCGAACAAAAATAAACATTCATGTGAGGCTCGTCCAAGATTAGTAGTAGTAATAGCACAGAGACAGCAAAGCGCGGAAGTCTTATCTCGTCTTATCGGCGATACGATCCCGGGTTAAGATAACTTCAAATAGCTCAGATACAACAGTTAAGGTAAACTCTTTGGGTGGGCCGACCTCAGTTTATCAGACATAGCAATCTCTAGGTATAAATAAAATAGAAAATACAATCACTTGAATTATGCTACACTAGTGCGGAAGTGGATAAATGAACAAGGAATCTAGACGGTTCAAAGGTTCATTTTTGAATTTTTTGATTTATTGAAATATATATATTGAGATCTTTGTCATATCGTTGCCACTAGTTTCCGTTTGGTAGCATCTGTCCGTACCAGAAAACCTAAAGCACGAAAATTAAATAGTACTTGATAAAAGATCGAAGAAAAATTGAAAAAAAAAATGTATAAGAGGAAGAGGACTGAGTTCGATAAGCCTCCTTCGCACTCTGAGAGGCCTGTGACCGAAACTAATCACGTTGCCAAGGGGACCAGAGATGGATGGGAAATATCAAATTATGCATTCGTAGAAAACCAGCTACAACAGCTACAGCTCTGCGAAAACGACAATGAGTACAATAAGACTTGCTCAAATGAAACCCATTGCAATCCAGCTCAAAACAGGGTATAGTCAGTAACGAAATTTAATTATATGAACCCCAACGTTACGGCCAGTTCGGTATTGTGGGGTTCACGAGTTTGGTATATTGATTAAAAAATCCTTTGATTTATTCACTAATTCAATACATATGTTCTCGTAATCTTTTAAAGATAGAGAGGTTATCCCCCTACGAACGAAAAATGTCCCGGGTGAGTTTCATTTATTGCGGTTAGGCCAACAAGGAGGGCAGACAAGATCTCATGCTAGAAAAATTCAAAAGTTTCAAAGCATTGTCCAAATGAACATGGAGTAGTGAGAAATCTCAGCGGGAGTGACCTTTTTCAGTATATCTAATAACATATTCATGATACCATACCGGGTATAATAATAATACTCAATGTTTATGTCGACATATCAGCTCGAAGCTTTGCACGTAATCAATCTTCTTGTGATTAAACTGTTTAGTTAAATCATTAGAAAGTTGTCGCGTTTGATTGTATAAACGTGAAGATTATTTCTAAAATGTACACAAAAATAACATGAAATGTCCGAAAAGTATGATCTGTGTGCAATAGYGTTTTAAAATGAAAGCGCTTTGATTTCAATGAATCGTGATWAGGTGAAACTGAGTTGTCTCACACGATCGTGGTACTCGTTGACAGTTTTTGGTTTACTAAGCTTATATAACCCGAATAGAACTGTTAGACTGTTTAGCATTCATAGACGTCCACTTGGAAATAAAAGTACTCTAAGATGTTCATCTTAATGTGTCATATTGAAAATAGTGCAGAATACGAGGACAGTTTCCTCAAAGCGTCTATTTTACCTTTTCGTTTTTTAATCCTTCTTCTCTTCATACCTTCAAGGCATCATCACAAAACGACGACAAATTGGTCTCATTCTTACGACAGACGTTCAGCTCAAAGTCATCATCCAGCCATATTTAGAAGGTCACTAAAGTTACCTCTCACAAAGGCGCCATTATAGTAGCATCGTAGGCGAGCTCTATAAACTGCGAAATCCAGTCAGCAGGAGAAAATTCATTAACAAATTCATCGGAGAAATCGGGAAAAAACGAGCTCTACCGTCACGCGCTCTAGTGCTGTACTTGACCCCAACGGGTGGACATTTCATTCAAGGAGATTCAGCTTAAGCATGTTAAGAATATTTGTGCCGTGATCTATAACATGACTTAKGTTGATGAAAGATCTAAATACCGACATTTCTAAACTCATTAATTTATCTTCATCTCTGAATATCCTAAATAAACATAGCATTACAACCTAAAAGAAGAAAGAATTTCTAACATGTAGGCAATTTTATGAAACATTTTTCAGTTGTTAGATTAAAAAAGCGTGAGAAATGGGAATGAAAAGGCTGAAAAATAACCCAAATAAAAAAGAAAACATCCCAAAAAACACTGGATGTGATTRATGACATGTCGAGTAAATACATAAAAACCGCCGCGAATTTCAAAAGAACAACATGCGATCACTTTCAGAAACCCTTTTTCTATATATAGTCTCTATATATGCACATGGATCATGTCCGGTGATCTATCCAAATTCAAGGGGAGTGGATAGGGGTGAAATTGCACACATGCTATAAATATCGTCTTGAGCGACATTATGTCACGCATTACATTTAGCTTGTCACGCTTTTCTACTTGTCATGGATATATACTGAGGTACACTCAAAAGTAACGCATTCTTAGGGTTCTCAAGGATAGTGGAGGTTATTCCGATAAAAAAATGTTAGCTTTTGAACGGGAAACTCAACTACGAAATGATCTGTTTTAATTTTCTTTTTTCAGTTTTCTTTCCAATCACACACATTTAGCTAGTTTTTAACTCGAAGATTGCGAAGCAATCGAAGAGTTATAGGAGGGAGATGAGGGAGATGATGTGTGAGGGGGACTAGTTAATTAGTCACTAATTTTTTTTCTGTAAACATACGGGCATTTAGAAATCCGTAACCAAGATGGCCAGGTGTTTTGATACAGAAATGGCTTTTTAAATACACAAAATGTGATTTTTGAGGTCTGGAAGTTCTTGTATAAGAATATGTTGATTTCAGAAGTCGTTTTAGGAGATATCGTGTGAATTTAAAGGATTATTCCGATCCACGTCGATTAGTGATTTAATGCTCATCGATTCATATAAACTTTAAACTTTATCCTTCGTAAGAGGCTTTATACAGACTTATGTCCAGATTTATTGTCTGACAATCTTCGAGTTGTGTCGCCATTGGCGGCTTGATTGGCTGAAGTGGATGGAGATTCAGAAAACCTGAAGAAAAACCCTCGTAGCAGAGGAGACGAGCTACTCGCATCAATAGTTGCGTACTGACAATCAAAAAAGGACAATACAGCTCTAAACACTTGGCAATCTTTGTTAGAGTTCCTCATGCATCTTAACTATTCTTCGCCAAAACACTTCAAAAGTCTCCTAGTTTGCAGCCTGGCTTTATGAGTCGCTCAACCCAGGGCCCACTGAAATCCAACACAGGCTGCGGAGAAGTTTTGTTTTCCTTCTTGTTTAGATTTTCTCGTTAAACAGCAGAAACATAAGTATTGGAACACTTTTCACTGAACTTAATACAGAAAAAAATAGTATCATCTTTTGTATAGTTTACGTAATGATTGGTATATTTCTTTAAAGCATTATTTGTAACGTTGGACTCCATAACTTTCAATACACAATGCAGATGACCCGAGTCATTAAGTTTGAACCTAAATACCTGATATTTTATTTTATTTTATAAACAATTTAATGAGCTACAGCCGTACCCACAAATTAATGTTTGCCGTTCACCTAGGGGAAAAAGACAGATGAATGGTAAATGGTCTTATCCTTAACTACCGAGGCGGACTTAGTAAATGAATCCCCGGAAAATCCTAAGTGATGTCACGTCATATCACAACATGCCGCCATGATCCAAAACTTACACTTATTGGTCCCTAACTAAAAACAACGGGTACAATATCAAAACAAACTTTCAAAAAAGATAAACAATTGTCGATATACAACACAATATTGTTACTTACAAAAAAATGTAATTTTGCTATAAAAAAGGTGGAAATTGCAATAACTTTGCAATAACAACTTGAGAAGGAGCAAAGGACTAAATTACCAGAAACGATTTTAAATGTTTCTTGGTCTCAAAATGGGGATCAGACAGTGGAAACAGTTAAGGTGACCCAAGATTATGAACTTCTTTTTCCGTCGATAAGTCGACCTAATTAAGAGTATTATATATATTAAACTTTGCTGAGAATAATTTATGCCACTTATACTTCACCCTAATTAGTTACCCTTATTAGTAAATCGTTTAATGCAATTAGGTATATCAGAAAAGATGATATATTTTGTTATTATTCAATTAATATTTTGTTGATCTTGTTTGGAWTTATGATCTGCTGGTATCAACGTAGCTGATCTTCACCAGCTCTGGACTGGTGTTAGACGTAATAGTGTCTATATAATTGTTCAAATCGTACGAATCGTCCCAAAAGCTTTTTTTTGCATCATCACTTCATCAATAGAAATGAACCGGATTTTGTAGTGATTTAGAACTTTATGGACCTTAAAATTAGCTCGCACGAGACAAATCACCTTGACGACATTTTGCGAAATAAAACTGAAGAAAATTGCCGCTCTTCAAAGTACATCTAGCTTTATATCTAAAGACGTGCATTTCTGAATGATAAAAGCTAATTCTTTCGGGAATTTTGTTTCAGAATGTTTTATATAGCAGCAATTCTATTGAATGTCATTGTCTACGCTTCATCAAGAAAAAAGCCCCATATTGTCATAATACTTGCGGATGATCTGGTAAGTTTTCAGGAAGCCCTAGTCATACAGCCCTAGTCTTTCAGCCTCAAGACGAACATCAATTTCGCCTGTTAATAAACATCTTTTTACTGATAACTGTCATTTYAAATATTATTTTTGAAAGGGTTGGGACGACGTCAGCTTTCATGGATCGCCCCAGATCCCAACTCCCTACATCGACCATCTGGCTAACAATGGTGTCATACTGAACAACTACTACGTYTCTCCCATGTGTACCCCCTCTAGGGCATCGATTATGACGGGCAAATACCCAATACATTTAGGTAAGTAACAATAATTCTATATCAAATTCATCTTATAAAGGCGAACATAATGGATGCTGATGAGGCGCAATAGCAATCAATGTCTAGTTAGTAATGAACTTTGATTGGCATATTCACTGCTGGAAAAGTTGATTGGTTTACAAACTTTGTAAATAATATGTATACACTGCAAATTCAATTTGTTACAAAGTTTGTAAATTTTATGTACATTCTGTAAATATCTTGCAAATTTTGTTCGATTAAACATCGTAAATATTTATAAATTTTGCTTGATCAAATATTGTAAATACCTTATAAATTTTGCTCCATCAAACATTGTAAATATCTTGTAAAATCAAACAGAAGCTTGAAGTTGCCGTTTTGTCTTACTTCCTTTTACTTATCTTGAAAAATCAATTTACAAAATTTGTAAAAGGACATTTTTTCTGTAAATTGAATAATTTACAGTAAATTTACAGACTCATTGATCAACTTTCCAGACATGATGCATCCGTCGTTTGGTTATAGATCTACGTCCTCAAATCGTAACAGTCTTTTCTTCRATATAAACCTTCACAGTTTTTTTTATTGTTTCTCAAGGTATGCAGCACTTTGTGATATATGCAGCACAGCCGTATGGAATACCGCTKGAYGARATCACTCTACCGCAGTATCTAAAAACACAGGGATACCGCACAGCGGGTGTTGGCAAGGTTAGACAAAGTAACCCGATAATAAGTAGAATAAAGTAATTTTGAGCTGATTTTCCAATCGTTTTCCTGTAGTGGCATCTAGGATTTTTTACCAAGGAATATACTCCCGTATACCGGGGATTTGACTCGTTCTACGGCTTTTGGAATGCGAAGACTGATTACTGGAACCATACATCATACGAGAATAATTTCTGGGGTATAGACATGAGAAATAATATGGAGGTAATATTTTTTTATATAAAACAAGTAATCTTTTAAAAAATTTACCCATTTATTTTCCAAGATTTCAAAAAAGAAACCTGTAAAATGAAATTCGCCAAGGATTCTTTGCGATTCTCTCTATGGAGCATGTCAGAATGTTTTATCTTCATCAACTGCGTTCAGACGATTCGATAAATGTTCGCCAGCTTAAATTTTCCGCTAATGAGCTTTGAATGAGTTTATTCGCTGTCCGCAGTACGGCCGCCCTTTCCCATTAGGTAGGCCAGCAGTAAGAGCATTTAGCGGCTGAACTCATTCKCGTCGTACAAATTTAATTTATCGATATTGTTGTCGAAAGATTTGACGTTGCAGTAAACACTTGTATCTAAAGGTTTATGGATGTATATCTTTTCAGCCAGTAGCCACCGACAGCGGTGTATACGGTACCGAGTTATTCACAAGAGAAGCTGTTAACGTTATCCATAATCATGATGTWAATCAACCTCTCTTCTTGTACTTGGCACACCAAGCAGCTCATTCWGCCAATCCCAACCAACCTTTACAAGCGCCACAAGACAAAATCAACGTAAGATCATGTGACACGTGTTCTGATAAAAGACGTAACGTTTAATTCAGCTTGCACTTCCGTCAATCCCACAATGCATCTCACCCAAAATATCACCACGTCATTAATGGGAAAGGTCAATTGCATCCCTACTATACTACTCAGCAAGATAATTACTAATTGGACCACGAGGTCAAGTCGACTGCGGGTTGATAGTCCATGAGGCCATATCAGAAATAATAGGACAAATTTCACACAATAACATAAAACAGAAATAACATCTTTTTGACTCTTTTCGATAGATGCGAGAATGGTATAACAAATATACCTTAKTTCATTAGCCAATCAGAATGTAGGATTTGCATCATAGTTTTGTGGATCCTCAATAGACCTAATCGGCTAACGACGTTGCTATGTACGTTACCACCCAATTCAAATCCTGTGGGAAAAAGAACTTTTGTTTCTAAGAATTCAAGTGAAATGAAAATACAACGAACAATGAAACTTACTTCCGGGTGGTTTGAATTGGGTTGAAGCCGATTAGGTCTATTACATTGAAGCGGTGTTAGATAATGGGACTACTGAGATGATTTTTGGGATGAGGTTTTGAGGCAGGTATAAACACGTCGATTAACCATCTTTACGTATCTATTGATTTCTAGAGATTCACAGATAGCATTCAGCAACACCAGCGCCGAGTGTATGCTGGGATGGTGACRTCACTGGATCAATCTGTTGGTGATATTTTTACTGCTTTGATGAAAAAACGTATGCTGCGGGATACTGTGATCATCTTCTCTACTGATAATGGTGGTGCCCCACATGGATTCAACTGGTATGAAGGTTTAAAGACTCAGTATCACCCTAGATGCTTTGCGCACCTCGTTATAATTTACTTTAATTGAGTGTACGAAATCATTTTGATGGCGATTTCAGGCTTTTGAGAGGTTGTTGGACTKTCAATGAAGAAAGTTVATAATTAAACKAACGTGACTTAAAGGCCCAGTGTACACCATTATGCTTTGCGGGACGCGAGGGTCTAGCGCGCAGACATTTTCAGTTTACCGAAATTAAGTCTATACTGAACTGTGCTGTGCGTTTCGAATCCGCTAATATCTGACATATCTTGACCATACTTTTCTAAGAACTTCCAACGTTAATATTAGAGTTTTCAACCATCGGGCATTCCTTTTATGGTGATATTTGGGCACTAGAAGTATTTTTATCTAAATTAATCTTAACAATAACAGAGGCGCGCAAAGCATAATGGTGCAAACTGGGCCTTTGACCATCACAGGCAACTCAAGTTTAAAAACTTGTAAGGTTAAACAGACTAATCAAAAACATGCATTACTTTTCAAATCAAAAACAARCGGTCGYAAAGTAACCAGACAAAGCAACCAGGATAATACTGATCYATTATCCAATTYATAAAAATTTACCTTTATAGGAATATGGGTTCSAATTAYCCTCTCCGAGGCGGTAAAGACATGATGTGGGARGGAGGTGTMAAGGGAACAGCTTTTGTCTATAGTGACCTTATTGAGCAAAAAGGGCGTGTCAGCCATGATTTGATCGACATTACCGACTGGGTACCTACTATATATCACCTTGCTGGAGGGAGTGCTGACCTGCTTCACCCTCACATGGACGGCAAGAATGTATGGGACACCATTTCTAGTGGAGCACCATCACCAAGAGACGAGATATTGCACAATATCGACCCATGGTATGTAACTAAATGACAAATATTGGCAAAATGTACTTTGCATACCTTGATAGTTTGAAAAAAGATTATATTTTCACAAGCTGTAAATTTGGACAAACTATGTAAATTTACAAATTTTGTAAACTGATTTTACAAGATATTTACAAATTTACAAACTTTATTAAAGGATACTTTGTCTGTACTAACTTTGTAAACTAATCAACTTTTCCAGTGTACACAAAATAAATAAAAAGGTACCAAAATCAGCATATGATGTATCTATGTATCTATACGATGTAGTTATTGCGTTTTTCTTTRCACAAACGACGACAAATCCAGTATTCTGATTAGCTATTGAACTGTGGTCTATAAGTGATAGTCCATAGTTGCATTCAAGAAATGCTAAAAAGTCGATTTCGTGTTGTATTAATGACATTATTTTACTAATTTTAGGCGTAAGTTYGAGGCTTTACGAAAGGGTCGTTATAAGCTAGTTGTGGGTATGGACGACAGCTATCAAGTCGGGTGGCATCCAAGATACAAAGGCACGCCACTAGACAATCTACCTCAGCCAAAAACACTCCCAAACGCTGTCATAAAGTGTGGCCATTGGGACAAAAGCAAAATGTGTGATTCAAGCGATGGGAAGGCATGCTTATTCGACATAGAAAATGGTATGAATAACTTAGAGTTTGTAGAACAGTTATTGAACAATATTCACCAAATAASWAAACACTTGTCAKGTCAAAAAAGATGACGACGCTAGAACCAAAGGGGATTTTGGGTAATCTGAAAAATATCTCCATAAAGATTTAGATARTTAACATTTACCATAGAGGAGGCAATGATGCTGAAGACAGTGGGAATACTTCAGTTTCGAGACCTCATTTGTGCATGTAATGTAATATGTAATATATTCTTTTATTCAGCAGAAATCCTATTAGGTATAACGCAAAAACTCTCTGTACAAAGAGGGCAATAAAAMTCTATGCTTGGTTGAAGCCAATCTTACACAAAAGAGAGTTCGAAACTGGAGTATTGAAACGCCGTCATCTTGCCTCGTTCTAAGTCACTTCGGTCGGTTAGCTTTGACGGCAATTTTCAATATAAGGAATAMGAGTGTACACCATCTAGGATTACAGATGATGGAGAAWAGCCAGGGAAAAGAGGCTATCAATCATCTATGTAATTTCGAACTAATAATTTGCGTTCCCATGTTCCCATTTGATTTTATTATGATAATTTGTTCCCTTTCTTTTTATTTGGTTCACAGTATATACASCTAATTGAAGAAACGTTGTCGGGTCCAAAAAGGTCAAATCATAGAAGCTAAGACCGAAAGGGTACTTGGGAAGACAAACAATTTGGCTAATTTCATACAAACAGCTCTCCAGCATAAAAGACTTGCATGATGTTAATCTTACTAGCTCTAGCTACTTGATTTACGGTGCACTTGTACACCGTATATGCAAATATAATTAGTGGTACTCAAAATCCCTTTCGGTCTTAGCTTCTATGATGTAGCCTTTTCAAACACGACTACGGTTTTTCAATTAGGTGTATGTCATTCACCGCTATGTACTCTATTTTTTTATCCTAAAACTATGAAACATTTTTGATTCAGATCCCTGCGAATATCACGATATATCAAACGAATTTCCCGAAGTCGTTCAACAGTTAAAGGATCGTCTCGACCACTATCGTAGCACAGCACGTCCGGTCTGGTACCCAAACATAGACAAYAATGCTAATCCWGSCAAATTCGGAGGTTTTTGGGGCCCATGGAGAGAGCTTAAAGACAACAGTAGTGTWSTAAATACGTGGGAAGCTGTTTGGAGACTTCAGGATGTGGAAAAACAGATCCGTTCAGATAATAAAGCCTCTTTTAGAAAGAACGAAAGAGTTAGGGCGCATGCCAAACCTGGCGCCAAYGGAGCGATTGATTTAGCATTCCAAAGGAAGCCCAATCATGAGGATATTTTAGAGGAAGAACCGCTGACAGAAGAAGCGACTGAGGACGAGATTGTGAAACCGCTGACCTGGGCTCCTAACAAACCTGTTAAGATTATGTACAGTTTGAAACCTAAAAACAGAGTCGACCGATATTATTATCACAAATTCGACTAATGCACACTGAATATGATGACAAAGACACTTTACTGGACACTTGTCGTTGATGTCAGATAAACGAAGAAAGATGGAAATAGTCTCATTCAAGTCACACGACCAGTGAGCTTGTATCAACAGATATCGGAGTGAATAGAGCGGATTTCGTATGAGTGGGACACCGTTACCGCACGGTTACCGCACAGTTACCGGACCTGGCCTGCACAATTTTGTTGAACCAATGGGGCACTAGAATTTGGTTACAGTACGATTACGGTCACAGTACAGTACCGTCCGTTTCCCACTCATACGAAATCCGCTCTAATTTTCATAAATGAAAAGATYTATATCCATCATTCTTACAAGCTCACTAGAGCAGTTTCCTTTAGATAAAAAGAAAACATGTTTATACTATTTTGAAGATGGCGCAGTGAACACTAAAGGCCGGAGACTAAAATTTTTAGTTGACTGCAATTGGTCAATTTGAAAACAAACTTAAATATAATCAAAATTTTTAAAACAAAATTTGAATAAAAATGTACATGCCGAAAAGTGTCCGCAAAAGGATACAATTAATGATAATTATCATTGAAACCATCTAATTAAAATACATCCATTTGTCCATTGTCGAYCAGTAAGTCCCATGGTCTTGTAAGGGTCCCATTTTGCGAACTTGATTGACCATTACGCCACCTGCTTAACTTCACTAATTGACTAAAATCTCTTGAGAATGTCCTTTGTTTTTGATTAAGATAGCAATTCCACTGACTAAGATGATGGTATGGATTTATTTAGCTGTTTAAGGTAAAGTTTAATATTTATTTCCTGATTATTATGGTATATTTGATGATGAAAGTAACATGTCCCATTCAGTAAGTTTGAATGTTTGCGCCAGTGAATTTAAGCGTGATAGATTTTAAACAAAACAAATAGGTWCGGAAACATTGAAATAAAAAATATTGATATYAAAAAATAATAATRATAATAATAACGCTTRRRWAAATTAGATATTTTTTTCAGTTTAGCGCGTTTAAGATTGATTGAAATATGAAWCTGTCGGATTTACTTGAATGGAAATGAACCTTATGTTAAAATCAAGTGGCAAGAACTCTCAAATTCAACATTCTAGGAAAAAAACAGAGACAAAAAAAAATAGAAAATTAAACGAGCTAGATGAGTAATCAGCTGCAAAACTGAATACGAATATGTGGAAATATAAATTCTATCAAAGTTCGAAATATTAAGTGAATATATAATTTTGTAGCTCAACAAAAGTGATGCGACCGGCTCTCGCAAAAAGACCACTTCCAGAATACTAAAAASCACAAACCTTTCAAATATGAGATTTGAGACACCCCAAACTATAGTAAGTGTTTGGATAGAGTGACGAAAAACATCCAAAGTCTTCTYCCAAAAATAGAAAATCAGAATTAAGATACAGGTCACCAACCTTTGACCTGCTGTCGATTCGGTTGTACATGAAAGGTGTTAGATCCATTTCCAGTACAACTCAACCCAACGCCTCTAGTTTTAGCACACTGGTGCGATTTTAAATGAATAGACTTTATCACCACAAGGGCCGCCATCTTGGATTTAATCAACAATTTTGGTAAAAGTCCTAAGAATTGAACGGACTTCCTCCTAACACTTTCAAATGTAAAATTATATTTAATAGCCACAAACATTGTGATGCTTTGAAACAATAATACAAATTTAAACCAATATATTTCTACAGCAATATAATTTTGAACAATCAGCTTTGACGTGAGCGAGGGTTTTGATAGCTAAACATTGTCAAGGAGAACTGTGGGCGAATGTCGAGGACAATCAAGATGGATTTTGGGTATTCAATATACACATGATTACAAAATTTTTGATATATAACGCGCATTCTGATTGGCTGACGATCATGTTTATATCAGAGGACTCGAGAAGCAAGAGAAAGTTTCTAAGCTTGCTTCTATCGTGTTTTTCAAGTCCTACCGTGTTTATATCCGAGGACAGAGACACGCGCGACGTTTTATATTTCTTTAATAATCACCAATTCATACCTCGAATTGCAGAATTCTTCACTTCGCCTTTATCTTAATCATCTTATGTTGTGCTGCTATTGGACGACGTGTCGAGAAACCTCATATTATTTTCATTGTTGCTGATGATTTGGTGGGTATACAACCTACAATAGAGAGGAACTTTAAGTAATGCCCCGAGTAAGAACTAGGGAAGCAAACGGCACAGGAATGCAAGAAGGTGCTAATTGCGCATTGTATAATCCATCCATCCCATTGGTTAAAACATGAAAATCTGCTATAATTTCACAAGTTAGCGAATTTTCTAATATTTTATTTAATGTCTTTTTTCGCTTTCATGAAAGCTTTCTTTAGCTTCAATATTAAGGCAATTCTATGTGGGGAACATTGCAAATTAGAAGCATCTTTTGGCTATTGTTTTGGGTGCTTATGATTGGATAAGAGCTTTTAATACAAAAGAAACTTTGTTTCAAAATAGAGTTTATCCACATTTTATTTAAAAAATGTGTTACCCACAGATGGATACATAATCAGTGTGAAAACCAAGACATTCGTACATGGGGAACTTGCTATGCCGCAGAACAATAGAGAGTTCCCTAGTTCTTAAGCGCATTGTTACTTAAATTTGTTTGTTATTTTGAAATGAATATTTAGATGTCCGAACTATTGCAGTGAAACATCTAATAACTGGTAACATTCTTAGGGCTGGGACGATGTTAGTTTTCATGGTTCCTCCCAAATACCAACGAAAAACATCGACGATCTTGCAAATAGAGGAGTAATCTTGAATAACTACTACGTGTCACCAATATGTACGCCTACAAGGGCTTCTATTATGACAGGGAAATACCCTGCGCATCTAGGTAGGTGTCTCCAATACATAAATCGCTACCTTCCCTTATCCCACCATCGCCTTAACCCCTAGAACATTCCTTATGACAGGAAAATACCCTGCACATCGAGGTAGTTTATGCACTTTGCCTGCCTCGCCTTAGCCCCTAGAAACGTCCTTATGTGTATATGCAATACACACATATTTCTACCTTTCCCTACCCTCTTCTTGATAATGGGTAGTTATCCCTAGTATCTGCATCCTTCTACCCCTATATCCATCCCCTAGAGTAGCTACATTTAGGCTGAACTTATATGCCATTGCTTCAGGTATGCATCATTTCGTGATTTACGCCGCACAGCCTTATGGRTTACCATTGGAAGAGGTCACACTACCCCAATACCTGAAAACACAGGGATACCATACCGCCGGGGTYGGRAAGGTAAGAMCTGRAAATATTCCATCATTCACCTCTTTTTTTCACCAGGTCCTAACTTAACTCATCAAACTTAAAGGCCTACGTGYATCTAAGAASCWTTGCTTGRTTTTCTCATATAAGAAAATTCGCMATCTTTAATTTTGARCCAATCAGAAAGCACCTTCAACAAGAGATCATCTGTAAAAAGTACGATCGCAAAGGTTCCTGGGTGCACTTGAGCCTTTTWAAAAACACTACTAACTTGTAAGGAAACACGKTCGGACATTATAGTTGTATTAAAAATATATGTACCTTCTAGTGGCATTTGGGTTTCTTCGCCAAGGAGTACACCCCAACGTATCGGGGCTTTGACTCTTTTTATGGATTTTGGAGCGCRAARACRGATTACTGGAAYCATTCGTCCTACGAGAACAATTTTTGGGGAATYGATATGAGAGATGACATGAACGTAAGTACACTGCATGATTTGTTATTTCAATTTGCTAATACTGCACGGTGAATTCCAAGATCGAAATGCATTTATATCCTACAGAGATGACATAGTCACTCTACAACAGTAAATTCCCTTCTAGCGATGATACTACAACCAACAAACAATGCATTTCAATATTGGAATATTCAGTAATCATCGTCGGCGTAGCATGCCCCATGCATGCCCTGTCAAATCAAATATCAGAAATCCTTCCATAACATCTATTCAACTCTCAGCCCATCAGTACAGAGAATGGAATCTATGGGACAGAGCTATTCACAGTAAAAGCCGATGAAATCATCCAAAAGCATGACGTCAACAAACCGTTATTTCTCTATATCGCCCACCAAGCTGTTCATTCAGCCAATCAGAACGAGCCACTGCAAGCTCCAATTGAAAAAGTGGATGTATGTTATWATAATATGATAATGATAATGATTATGCGCACTGATGTCGTTGTAGCTGTTGTTACTGTAGTTGTTGCTGTAGTTGTTGCTGCTTTATTGCTACTAATTGTCTTGTTACTGCTGCTCTCTTGCTTAGCTTCCATTAATCTAGTCTTATTCTTGTCCTTTTGATCGGCTAACTCTTCATCTAAGCTTGCTATCGCTCTTGTTCTCTGGCTCATCTTGCTTGCCATCTAGGCTCGTTATTACCGTTGTTCTCTCAGTCTGTTATATTTTGATGTCAGCTTGTTCTTCTTCTATCCTGTTAACATTGCTCTTCATAAAGGCAGTTTTCCTATTGTCATCTTGCTCTTAATTTCATCTTGGTTTTAGTGTTTCTCTCTTGTCAGCTTCATTTTGATTTCGGCTTGYTCTTCTTCTATTGCTATATACTGCTTACTTTGCTCTTCATCAAGCCTTTTCTTGTTCTCTTGCTCATCTTGCTATGTTCTTGATATTTTATTTTTCACTTTTTTATTTCCATTTGGCATTGTGGCAATGATGACTACAATAATTATCAAGTTCGTTAATAGTAACTTATGTTAGATTAACATAAATCAATGCCACAATTCATCATAAATGTTTCTCAGTGCACAACAAAGTAGCATAACTGCAAGGGGTTACAAGAACGAGCGTGCAATTATTGGTCATGTATAGAGCTTATTTAATATCTATTCTTCATTTTTCATTAACAAACGATGTTACCAGGCATTCAAGGACACAATTGATCAAGAAGATCGACGTAARTACGCTGGCATGGTRATGTCTCTTGACCAATCAGTGGGCAGAGTATACAAAGCCCTTCAAGATAAGGGGATGGAAAACAACAGTATCATTATATTCACCAGTGACAATGGCGGGGCACCACATGGATTCAATTGGTAAGAACAATTCTAGAATATTACAATTTTATTGCTTTTGAGGTTGTCTCGTCAAGTAGTAATAGAATTGTTGGATGATATATTGAATCAAAAAAAGTGTTTCTTAGAAATGGTTCTTAGGGTTTGATATTAATAAGAAAAAAGAATAATAAAAAGATTATTAAGTAAGATATTTCGGACATATGGATATCAGAATATCAGAATGAGAAATATCACCTTGGAGAAATTGAAAGAAAAAATAATGTTAAAAACTTCGACGTCTCTTATTAGAGAAGTCACTTTTCAAACATGAATCTCTGAAAAAATAATCAACAGACCACACTTTGAGCGGTTCCTGGATACGAGGTTTCTCYCCTCTAAGCAGCYSTGCCCTTAGGCCAATCKTGTGTCAGTAGGAAAGCAATGRCGATGATGATTTGATATGCCAAGAAGCATATCAGAGGTGAYTTATCTTAAACAYCCYTACATTTTCAGGAATATGGGGTCCAATTTCCCATTTCGTGGGGGCAAAGATCARGTTTGGGAAGGAGGTGTTCGCAGCGCAGCATTCGTGTACAGTGACCTCATAAATAACAAGGGGCGTGTCAGTAACGACTTGATTGACGCATGTGATTGGGTTCCTACCTTGTTCTCATTRGCTGGTGGTGACTCTAGTCTTCTTCAACCAAACATCGATGGGAAAAATGTGTGGGATACGATATCAGATGGAGAGCCATCGCCAAGAGATGAAATTCTCCACGCCATAGATCCATGGTAAGTACACGAATGGTGAAGAGATAAATGAGCGTCATGTCTGGTATGGCATGTCTTCCTAGAAAAAATAAAAATAGCGGTTAAAGGTGCTCTTACTCTTTTGCGCTGTTGTAATATCCGTTAGATTGATCTTTTTCAAGGATAGAAACTAAATAGAAACTATTTGTGGGTAGGAATTTTTATGTAATATATAAAAAATGAGCGGGAGACCTTTATGGACATATAAAACTGTCAGCTACAAGCGAGTCAGTTTTATCGCCCATAAAGGTCGGGTGCGAATATTTTATATTGCTTATCAAATTCCAACATAAGCTAAAGCATATTTCGCAAAAACTTCAAGATAAAATATCGTTTGTAGGAGAAAATCGAAATTAAAGTCGYATGGAAATCAGGATAAATCTCTTGTTGCTGTTACATTATGCGAAACAAGTTGCAGGAAATTTTTTTAATTCGTGCAACTATGCGGACAACATGAACAAAAGAGCACTGAGGGCAATCCAATCACATAGATAAGAATCCCATATCACAAATTTATCYAGTGAAATGCGCGCGCCCTGATTGGATAAAGATGACGAATTCGTGACGTAAAACAGTGGGTATTAAGCAATTATTAATGATAAGCAATTATTAGTGATAACCTTTACATTACATTACCGCTCCCAATACCCCAAATGTCATCAGCCCCTCACTGACAATAAAAAAAAGACAGAAACACGTTATCTTTATAGGCGTAAGTTTGCTGCCATTCGTAAAGGACGCTATAAACTAGTCGAAGGCATGGATGATTCCTATAAAAATGAGAAATGGCATCCAAGGTACGCAGGAATCGAATTAGAAAAACCCCAAGTGTTACCGGGTGCCGTCATTGACTGCGGCAAATGGGCCAGTAACGGAACGATGTGCGACTCCAGTGGCGGATCAGTTTGTCTGTTTGACCTAGACGAAGGTACGATGTTTTTATATAAGTAAGAAAACTATTACACCCATGATTGATGGATGGATGGATGGATGGATGGATGGATGGATGGATGGATGGATGGATGGATGGATGGATTAATTGATTGACAACAGGTTGAACAATTGATTGACTGACTGAGCACTTAAATGATTGCGGACTCACTGATTTAATACTATCAAATACACTTTTAATTGTCCCCTCCCTTCTCAAAATACTAAAGAGTCCTCTACTAACAGCTTTTAACAGTACTTATTTCATACTTGATTCAGTTTTCTTTGTTATTCGTAGTGTTGTATCTCGCTTATTCCCCAGCTCGTTGTGTATTCAAGTGCTTTATATCGAAGTTTCAGGGATATATCTATATATCGCNTATTGCCCTTGAATACCTAATTAACTACTACGTTCAACTTAGAAATTTTCCGTCTGAAACTTTAAACTTGAAAGAAAGAAAGAAAAATTCAAATGACACCAAGTAGATTCGAACCCACAACCTTAGCTTTGAAAATCCTATACTTAACACGTTATGCTAACTGACTAATCGATGTCAGTTATGGAATAAAACAGTTATTTAACATTGTCCAGTTACTTGTTACAAAAGGTGTATTGTTAGCATTGGTCTCATGGGACTAACGAGAAAATTGGTTATGCAAATTATTCCCGTTGGGAATTTTCAATACTGTAAATTTCGTAATCTTTCTAATCGAGGGTTTGGTTTTTAATTCATATGAAAACGGCTTCTTTGCCTATTTAAAAATGAAAATATTAATGCAGTGCTTGGAAAACTTCTTCAAGTATGAAATAAGCCAGTTACATACCTCGAACGTCGGCAATCAGCCTATACATCCCTCGGGCCTACGGCCCTCGGGATGTATTAGGCTGATTGCCTCCGTTCTCGGTATGTAACTCTTACATGTTAACTCATCAATCACACTAGATCCATGTGAATATAACGACTTATCAAAAGCCCTACCCGACAAAGTCACAGAACTACAAGCTCGTCTCGAAGAATTCCGTCAAAGCGCACGCCCTGTATGGTATCCCGCTATCGACAAAGAGGCAAACCCAGAYAAATTTGGCGGMTACTGGGCACCATGGAARGAACTAAAAGACAACAGCAGTCTTATTARCTCGTGGATCTCCGTCAGTACATTACTTGCTATTGATTTACTCGGGGSTAAACACGAACACGACTCCAGTAAATCGCCATGTAATATCAATATAACTGATTTGAGTATCCGGCATAATGATGATATATTGCCAAACGTACCTACAGATATAGGAAAATATATATCATCTCAACAACTTCGTTCAAATTTTCAAAATATTTGTGATTTAAAGGACGGTGATATCAGCTGGTCGCCTTATAAGCCTGTTGAAGTACACAGCAGCAAGCAACCGACTGATAGTAAGGATAGATTCTATTATAGATTGTCATATGATGGTAGATAGGACCGATCTATAGGATACACCGTATTGAAAAACGTTGTCGGGTTCCAAAAGGTTACACATCAAAGCTAGGACCGAAAAGAAGCATGGGAAAGCAATACTTGGCTACTTGGACGAAAATTGCGAAACATTAAAAAAGACTTGGAAATCAAATAGAACTATCCATATGGGTCTAATAATCATGAAGCAACAGATTTCATCAAGAAGATATTGATAAAAATCCTTGATAATTTGGACAAAAAATGTTGAAGTAGATGACGTCATTTACTCCCTCCTTTTGTTCTTCCATCTTTTGAATCAAAATTTATCTGATGTGGGATAATTGCAAAACAAATATTTTCCTGCAATTGTTTTTAATAGATATCAATGAGTCATATATTTGTATCGCTTGAAGTTTTGAAATAAGGCCATTTTCATGCAAGTAGCACTTTAAGAATTAAACGATTTCCCAGCACTGAATATAATGATGATTAGGCAGGTACGATTCGAATTTTTGAACTGCGTCCCGACATCGTTTTTCTATAGGTGTAGACTATAACGTATCGGAAGTATGAATAAGGAGATTGCAGGAATACGCCCTTTACAGACCACAGTGCCATTTTGAAAGGTAGCCAAGCCTTGGCATCAAAGCGAGACAGCTGGGTGTGCTTGCAAATGATAAATACATGTCGATATTTGACCCAGTTGGGAAAAGAGGTATCTATCACCATAAGCTCTACTGCTGTATCGCTTAAGATGGCGTTGAGAGCTGTAAAGAGAAGTTTTAGACAATCACCATACTGGGTTTTGGTACCATTAATGCCTGGTTTAAGGGAGTGGAAGAGTCACGCCTGGGGTGTTGTGCAATGCTTTGCATATACTATACATATACTATATGTTTGAGGTTAAGAAAAGATAGAATTATATTTTTCAAAGTCTTTTATAATAAATATATATTATAAAAATGTTCGGTTAACTGTCAAAACGAATTTGTATTATATWAATGGTAAAAAACGAATAAACCTCTTTATAAAAGCTATAATAATATGTATTTCACTCCTAAATAGACCTCTCAAGCTTTTACGTCATGTACCGTATACGCAATGCATTGTAGGATATGTTTGGGACAGAACATGGCGGATTTCTTTTGTTTTCTCTTGAAACTCATCCCACAATGCATTGAAAATCAAGTAGAGGCGTAAAAGGCTCAGAAGTTTATTTGTACGCTGAAGAAATTTTTGAATTTTTAACCTCTATAGTGAATAGTTGGCCTGGCTCATCCTCCGAAATTCACACGTACAGATACATCAGGGAATCAACGACGATCGCGCGGGATCCCTGCCCTTTTTATTTTATAATGCCATATATGCACACATATTTTTGTACAATTTCCCGGATAACGCAGGATACCGCTGTCCAATCTCAATGAAGCTTACAGCTATCTTTCAAAATGGCAATAGAACTGAAAGAGGAGAATCCAATAGGCCATGTCGYARCAACTAAAATCATGTGTTTTGTAAAAAAATTGTATAAGTCAACAATATCTATGCATGTACATACACAAAAACTTGATATATTGTTAGTAATATCCGCTTAAACAGTGAAACAAAAAAACACTTTGAAGCAAAAGGCTTAAAATATTTTTGCTTAAAACAATTGGAATGAATGTTAACAAAATATTGACAATTTTCAAAATTATTTCAATATTATGAAGATCAGACTATACTTATGTATATTTTTGCAAAAAAAACAAACAAATATACTCTTTATTTACCGCAAATTTAGTTTAGAGAACAAAAAGTGTTAGAAAGAYATTCAAGACAACTGTCACAGACTTGCATATGTAAAGAAAATATTTGAAAAACTTTCAATCAAGAAATGTATTTAGTCTAGCATTTTAAATCAGTCGAAGCTCAAAGACAAAAAAACTCAGGAAAACAAAGTTTTCATGAGAAATATTTGAAAAAACGTATTTTTTCTGCTGTGAGTTTCTTCAAATGTTGACAGGGATCTTAATCTGAAAAATGAATCAAAATATTTTTATTTTAGATCAGTTTCCACYGATTTTCACGTTAGAAAAAAACTTTCAAAAATCACTGTTTTCTCAACAGACTTCTTTTTTTTGCAGAGGATATTGCTTTGTAGACCATTCCTAGATTCCACTATGTATAWGACAAGACGTTTTCACAATTAAATAGGTTTTTCTTGACAAAACTTTCTACTTGGTCACCAAATTTCTACGAAGTAATCTGTTTTAAAATAATTATTTTCAAGTAAAAGTTTATTTTTTCAAAGTTACGACTGTTAAATACATTCAGTGCTAGCTTTACTAATCTTCAGTACAGTTCTAAATGAGGTAGCTAAGTATCACATTGAGAAAGCTGTWCTCTGTACAAATTGAGTATCAAAATAATCAACCTCTTTTTATCATCGTTACAATGTACTCTTTCTATTTTCTATGACACTCGATATCCAATTTAACTATATCAGCTGTTTCTCCCACTTCCAATTAAGTATATACGGCGCAAAAACAAACAAACTAGACCAGAACAATACGYGCACTTTAGTAGAGCCACRAGTAACAAAAAACAAGTGTGGCAGGCACAATTGGGGGTGATTTTCAATTGAGACGTATTCATAATCGCTTGCTGTGTTCAAAGAGAGTGATACCCGCATGTAAAGCGTGGGCAAGGGCACAGGTGACATACATGAAAAGCTTGTTTTCATATTTTAAAGAGAGCATGGAATCTTGTTAGATAAGTATGAATTCCTTTGGAGGGATTATTAATAAAAGACCAGTGTGCTAAACAATGTTGTCTTTTGTCTTAAAAGCTAGCGCTTGGAGACGTTCGACGACAACTGTTCTACCTTTGAAAATTTTTTAATGTCTTTCATCGCTTCGTTGTTAAGAGATTTTGTTAACTTGTCTTGTCTTKCCTCTCAGGGGAACTCTCCAGGCTCKCTCAAAAGAAGTCATTCTGMAGAATTCCTGAAATTCCCCTTAATTTCTCTAGAGTCGGAAATCTTGAAAAAGAATTGGGCAAAACCTCAATATAAACAAACTTYCKTCGTATAATTACATAACACTTTGAGAAAACGCCATAATACGAGAATGTCTGAGATGTCATCGAATTCCACATTGAATTTTACAAGCGATGAATCATATCATGATGAATTTCGKKWTTTTTWWTWWTWWTWARRMCYTTTTTAAGGCAATTTTGATATAAGWTGTAATTTTTGCGGCGATTTTGTAGCACTTGTAAAAAGCCAGCAAATTCACGAGGATTTCCCGTACAAAGTTTRAGTAAAAATCGCAGCGATTTACACTACCAGCATTATCGAAAACGGCAACCTGTCGCTGTAAATCGCCGTTTCAGCGCGATTAAGTTTKMGATAAAATCGCCGCAAAAATCGTATCTATTGTTGCGCGATTTGCTTGTGTAAACTAGGCCGTAAATATACATTAGCTCAAAAATTTGAAAAACTATAACAACTTAACAAAAATAGCTCCTTCTMATGGAGAAATATAATTTGCCAAAAAAAACATACTGCATACATATGCTAAGAACGTAAATACAAACTATTTAGTATAAATAAGGTGATCCCTTACGTTATGAATTTGTCATATTTCAAATGGKTATTATATCTTTAAGTCGCTATCAAACGTGAGTATCTATTTGTTTGCACTTTAGATCTATAACTATATGGTATTAAAGAGTCTATTTGCATTCTGGATTACGCGCTACTCATAGTATAATCACTGCTCCTTATAGATTACGCAGTCTATTCCGAGATCGTCTMTACGAGACTTCATTAAACCGCTTGTATGAGCAATATAAAAGCCACCAGCTTCACCCATTCCCTAAAGAACATCTCTACTCCTCCAAATTCAAGCTACATAAAAGTTCTAACTGAAAAAGTTGAAATATTTCTCAAGAGATTAAGATATAAAGCATATTTTTTCGACTATTTTGTCCCAAATGACAGCCACTCTCACACCTTTGATTTTAGCTCCGACCTCGCTACCCTGCAGAAAAACGCTCTATAGCGGATCTATACATTCGACCGTCTAAGAAAGAACATCACAACATCTTCAAAAATGAGGGACTTTCCATCACCATATAGACGAACTTACAAGTGTCTGATTTCCTTGACGTAACGCTCGATCTACCGAGGAAGAAAAACTACCCATTCAAAAGTCCAAACCTCCTCTTAAAGTCATCAAACAGTTGCCTAGGATCATCTTTCCTGCCATCGCGATGAATTTAAGAGGGTAATTCCCGCCTACGAATCCACCCTAAAAGACAACGGATTTCTCGCAAACTTTCACTATTTTAACAAAGATCTCCTCAGAAAGAAAAGGAACGAAAAAGGGAAGTGAAACGTTTTATGGGTAAATCAACCCACAAATCAAGAAACAAAGCTTGGCATGATATTYCTAAGACTCGTCAGAAAGCATTTCTCAAGTCAAACGCAATAAAATTCTGTTACAGCTACACCGCAAACATGTTGATGATCATAAAACAGCACAACTCAAAGATCCTTAAGTCTCACGCGAAATTACTAACCAGCATCAACGGCAAAACAAGTATAAGACCATCTATCCCCATTGATTTACTATGTCTAAGTAAATAAATTGTTTAAAAAGCTCAAGTGTCTACTACTGATGATTTCAAAGTCTGCTACGAGGTTTCAGAGAGTAACTTCAAGACCAGACATAATARCCACAAGAAATTCCTTAGGCATTCAAATTGTCGACACAAAACCGAAGTATCTAAGGACAACAACATCCCTTTCATTATCAAATGGAGCATCGTATGCAGCACGCTTGGCGGCAAAAATTAAAATGCGAATCGCAAGAAGGTGCGATTTATTTTTTGCGACAAACTGACAATTCATAGAGCTCATAAGAACTTATTCAGAAAAAAATCTGGATTTTTGTCTAAATATCGACACAGAAATAAGTTCCTTTTATCGTATGTAAAATAACAGAGTTGCCACAAACTCTGATCTCTTGTAGGAATTGCCTCTTGTTAAAAATGCTTGGTTTGTAACGTATTTTATACGAGCGCCATTTTGATGTGAAAAGCACGCGCCATGGTCATCATGGTCAAATGGAAAATGTGCGCGAAAATTTACCCACATTACGTTGTCAACGATAATAGCCCTATTAATGCCTACAGAAGTCTTTTATCTTAATCGATTCACCTTGGAGTTTCAGCAATTGACCCACTCGAGCTGCCAATTAATAAATACGCCATTGAATCAGAGGCGGTATCGAGAGTTCCTTTAGAATCATTAAATCTTCCTAACTGTGTGGAAAATTTCAATTTGATATAAACTAATTTCCTGATCCACAAGAACGAATCTATCGGCAATTATTTATTGAAGACATTTTTTTTATCAAGGGTGAAAATGCTTGCTGGACTMCAATCCAGAGACATAACATTCCAATTTCATATTGAGTCCCGAGTTTTGAATTATTGAACTCCTTTTGACTTGATCTCAATGCCGATTTTGAAGGTTCTCCATGAACCGCAGGTACCAGAATTCTCGTTAGACGCGCAAACTTGAYACTCAATGCTAAAGGCAATTTGGCATCACGATAGCGATAATGAGAGTGACTTCTACAYCCATCTCATTACACATATAATAATAAGAAGAATAGTTTATTGCCACTTCTTGCAGTTCAAAAAAAAACTGAATAAACAGTAAAAATTACATAAAAAAGATTAAGAAAGCTATTATAAATATAGCTTATAGTATATATACATAGCTTATATATCGTTCTCAGTTTGCCTATATGGTAATTGAGCATTATATAGTATCAAATACATGACAAATATTAAAGATAGAGTATACATATCGATAGGTAGAGACGATACATATAAGCTAATGGATAAATTTAAGAAAAAGACCACAGCATGGAGAGATCGAGAATTCTGGAATAAGAAACTCTCGAAGTGATGATCAGCTCATCATCTTTTTATTCGAGGAAGGAAAACTGTCGCAGCAAGAACGAAATATCTTTGACGTGACGTTTCTCGAATTTGACAATCGAGTAACGGAAAGAAAAGTTAAAACTACTTCGTGAAACTTATAATGGCAAACGTTCATTACATCTTCGCGTCATTACGTTAGCAAAACACGTCTAAACCACCGGCCATTTAAAAAAAATATACTTGCATTATTACGTTATAAATGTAACTCAGCGCAAAGAATAAGTGAGATGAGGTGGTTGTTGCATTTTTTTAAAACATTAAATTAACGAAAGAGGAGAGGAAACTACAAAWCTATGAACCACACGACAAGAAAAAGTCATGTTTAATTTCATCGTGAGATTTCATAAGAGTCATCATATATAACATGCATAATATCTATTTTAGCTCATTCCACATGATCACATCCAAAATGCATTGTCTCTTTTGAAAAGACGCTTCGATACAACTGGCAGATCCTTGGGGGGTGCACAACCCCTGCAGGTTTTTAAGTTCAGTTATAAATAACTGCAATTATTCCTTTTGTGCTGGGATCGGCAAGTAATCGCTAAGTAACCCTGGCTATTTGCATTYAGCGAGGACCCGCGAAGAARCTWGCCAACGCTGGATACCGCCATCCCATTGTAAGCTATTAAGCTTATCAGCTGCTTTTAAGATTACGAAACACCGCCCTAAACTACAAGTCCAAAACTACTAAAAATTTTATGTTTTACTCACAGCTTAAAATATCTTTTCTCTAGACATGGAAGCAGACCATGAAAAGGTCATCGCAGATACTAACAAAAGTTGCCTAGAGGCACGTGGTGGCCGGTAGAAAAATTGCCGCCAAAATTGAGTTAGTATTGMGCCTCAGAGCCTGAWGACGGAATTTTMTGTTGAAATTTAAGTAAATATACAGTACTAGAATATGGGGAAATATAGAAATGAATTAGTTTATGGCAGGBGTATATGATTTTATATAAGGTCCAAAGATGAATTAGAAATTGATTCTATTAATCTATCAAATGAAAAAGAAACCCATGCTAGCATTTGAATCCCAATGTCGGCTTTCATACATGATCGAATTTAAGACTTTTTTCATCATAACTATTTCAGGAGAAGTGTCGTGGGGGTATATCGATTAAAATTCCCCAGGAAACTCTCTTTTGAATACTATTGCTATCATGAGAGAGTAAATTTCGACGACTCAGYGAAGAAAATTAATAACAATATCACACAACCTGTATATTTATTGAGCCATTGCAATGTTTTATCAAATGTACAATTGTGAACATAAAGGAACAGTTATAAATTATCACTCAAATTGTAGTGAAAGTCTTATACAAGTCCGTTAATATATATATAGTTTAAAAGTTCGGGCTAAATTAGACAGAGCAGTGCAGAAATTGAAAGATATCCAGCCTCGTTTATTTCGATGATAGCTTTTTGGATTTGATATGATTGTTWAATTAATTATTAAAGACGAGCTTTTCATGCATTTTCATTTTTCAAAAAATACAAATTATCTTCATGCAAAATGTGCCAAAAATTCATTTTCAAAGCTGGTAAATTGGACTTTTTTCCCTCACATTTACAAGTCAGAATAATTTAACCAATATATGATCAAAAAGGACAATTTATACAAAACAAGAAACACCAACAACTCGTTCAATCTCCCCTTGCGAGATTTACCCTCGAGCATAAACTAACAATGATAAACAAAAAAAAAATTCCAAATTTAAAAATATAACGATAGATTCTCTTCTTGTCTTTTTATCTAAAATTCTTAAAAAAAGACATCGTTTTCCTGATGAATGTCTCAGGGAGAAATTTTCCTTTAAAAGAAATGAAAGTATATTGCCAAAATGGCTCAAAATTCGAACGTGAATTTGATGAATTATATTCTATTAGCCCATACGATAAGTAGATAAGAAGACCATTCGTTCTTAGCCACACATCCAAATCAAACAATAGTCTATTCTAGTGTTCTCGATGTGTTTACACAGACATTAATAACGACCTGTAAAGCAAAGTGTAAGCGATTATAGAAGACAGTAAACACGCTCAGTGAGTATTCGGTCATTTCTTAAGAAATAAAGTCTTTGGAAAATTCAACAAGRCAAACGAAGAATTTCCAAGTGAGTCTTTCCAAAGGAAAAAGAGTGGTGCTTCTTTCACCGATTTTACGGCAGTGTCTAAAGTCTTTTTTTAGTCCGGGATGTAGGTCTTCATTGTGCTCCATTAGTTCAAACTATAAAATTCAAACATTGAAAGTGATTGCTCAAAGGACTTCACAGTTTCCTGTGGTAAAAGTGAACCACTGTCATCCCTGATTACGCGTCAATGTTCGAAGATTCTTCTAAAGGTGTTCTGAACTTCAAGAGTGCAGGTCTTCGTTATGCTGTTTGAGTTCAAATTTCTTAGCAAATCTCTGCCGGCAGATCTTGCATTGATACGGAAGATTATCTGTGTGGGTATGCATGTGAAATTTCAGGTTGGACATTTTGTTGAAAGCTCGCTGGCACTTGGTGCACTTAAATGGTTTTTCTCCAGTATGAATCATGATATGATTCCTAAGATTCCCTTTCTGATGAAACCCTTTTCCGCATATATCGCAAATAAAAGCTTTATTGTCACTGTGAGTTCGGATATGGGTCTTTAGTGTGGAAGATCTGTTGAAGSWTTTATTGCAAATGTCGCACTTGTGTGGTTTCTTCTGTGTGTGGATGATTTTGTGCCGGCACAACGTACTAGACAGACGGAATCCCTTTCCGCAGATATTACAGACAAATGGCCTGCTTTCTGTGTGATCGGGCATTTTGAGGTGAATCGATAGTGTGTACTTGGTCTTGAAGATCTTGCCACATTGCTCACAGCGATGAATTGTCTTACTATTGGCTCTTTCTTTTCTAGAGGAATTGCCCTTGGCTTTKCYTTTGTTTATCCCGATGCAATTTCCTGACGTGGGGCCATCGTAATCCTCGCCACTTGAAAAATGCACACTGCTGTCCGAGTACTCGTCTTCGTCGTCGTGGTAGCGTCTTTTYCTTGAATCATTTTTCGACCGAGAGCTGGAGCCATTTAATGCGGGTTTTCCTCCGCCAGACAAATTCTTTTTATTATTTATGAAATCAGTTGACGAACCGGATAAGCTGCTTTTTGCGGTAGTGTTGAGCGCGACGCCAACACATACATCTGCAGGATATGAGAATCTTTCCCCGTTTTGAAAACTCTCCACTCCTTGTACAAAGTCTTTCAGGACTTTGCCTTTGGTCTCTGCATCCACAATGAAGGGTTTCTTGGTCTCATCATAATCGATTTCGCAGTTCGCTGAAATTTAATCAACAAATGATACTTTCCATCAATGTTAAATGAACACGGAGCTCGAAGCAAATGGCTGGTACACAAATTATATACATTTGCTTTAAAACTGACCGGTTCCTATCACAGATTTATTGACAACAAATACACATATGTCAAAAGCTCTTACCTTTTCTAGCACTTACTGGAGTAGACCACTCGAACGTATCCGCTTCGCCGAAATTTCTCTTTAGCAGAAAAGCTTTAGGCATTTTTGTGTAAATCCYGAATGATACTCAGTGCTGAAGGTCTWMTGAAATGATCGTGGTCGATGCTTCGGCTTTGACGAGTAAACAAAAAAGTAGGCCAAAGAGAATGTCAGTGCCCTTTTATGCTGAAGCACACTGTTCTCGAATTGAGRAGCCTTGGTAACTCTAGATTAATCTCTTAACAACTTCATTTCATATTGTGGTTGCAGATATATATACCTTTGTGATGGAGTTGTAGAGCACGCTTCACAACCAATCATATCCATCTACCCCAAACAACCTGCAAACATACTTCATAATTCATGGACTGTACATATGAAAATAACAGCCAGGCACCTGCTTCTGTTAGTAATAATTTGCGGGTTTCTCTGCCTGTATTCTCAAATAATTATTGCTCAATAAGAGTTAGGAATGTTAACAAAGAATTTGGAATCATTTCCTGACTAAAATACCTCGAATTGAATAAGATTCTTGCGTTCCACAAGCGTTGCACTTTGTCGAAGCAAGGTTTATAATCGGATGCAAATACACAATACTTGGTTGTGCTGAAATATTTATTCTCATCGCTATAGGGTGCAAATGGTGTTGTTTCGTACTTCCCTGTGGATAAGTTGTGTTCATTGGCTACCAATTGTAATAGGCTCAACCCATTCCTATCAGAGAACGACCAAAAATTCTCCTCCTCACCGCAAAAATGTCGTTTTTGCTTTTCAAAAATTACCGAACCTCTTCTCTTGGCGCTTGTTGCCTGCCCATTTGCACTTAACAAGTCAAATACTACCACATATTTCATACCCCAGCTATCTCTCTTTGTTGTATCGATTTCGAGATCGCTTTTGCACTACTTTGGATAAATTGAAGTTATTTTTCCATCTTGCGAAATAGCGATTGTTTTATTACATAGTTACTATTATCAAAGATTCCTTTCTTGAGAAGCCGAAATTGAAGATTTTTATAAACAAAATTAGAATATTTATATAAGCATGGAGAGACTCTCTACGATAGCATTATACTCTTTGTGAGCAATGAACTAGTGTTTATTTGAAATATTATTGTTTATCAAAGGGATCCACGCAACCATGTAAGCCTTTTGCGTTTATAAACAGTGACAATCGCATGCCATTTCAATACCACAATGAAGATGGTTTCTATGGGGCCTTTTCTATTCAAATGTTTATTTTTCGGTCCAATTTGCACTGTTCATTTAGCTATTGTCCTGAAGTCAATGAATTTAATTTGCCAAACAGTGGGAAGCGGACTGATGTAGCGCGCTTGTTGTAATAGATAGGGAGGGCTAATTAAGAGTAAGCCAAAACCGTTGAATATTCTACGTGARCCTGATAGCAAAGTATTTGGCCCACACAAATATAGCTGTATCTTCGYAGAGAAGCAAATTTATGGCACAAAAGATGCGCTTARATTTTGCCATTTCTATATTTAATTGTTTTTTAACCAAACCTTTTTTTTTTCATCTCTTGAACAGTAGTTGGCTATTCTATGCAAGGTGATACTGTACTCAAGTGCGACAATGAAAAAAATATCAATGAATTCTACCTAAAGAAAAAACTTTATCTGCATTGTGAAATATGCGACAATTTCTTGTTCTATATTGGATTGTTTAACCAAAAAGTTTTTTCCTGCCTCTTTAACTAACAGTAGTTGGTTATTCCATCCAAAGGTAACACTCAAGTTCGCCAATGAAAAAAATATCAATGAATTCTACGAAAAGAAAAACCTTTATCTGCATTGCGAAATATGCGAACATTTCTGGAGATCATATACTTAGGGTTTTTTGTCGGTCATCAAAGTCGCGCTAAGACCATCCCATTAAACTTTCAAAACAGAAATCCTACACGCGAAACAATSAGCTCCCCATATGGCCGAAAGAATTGACGAGATCAGCCTTTTRAAAGAAAAAAAAAACATTCTAAAAAAATGAAATACGAAAAGCGACTACAATTTAATTATTCACAATATGGTAAATTTGATTCAAGAAACTTTCTGTATTAAAGAAGAAAAAACAGAAACAGGCAATCCAGTCGACCCTCGAGTGTGGAAAAGCACTGGATTAGAAATCGAAATGAATTGAAATGAATTATTCAAAGAGTCTAAGAAATCGGTTTATTGGAATGATTATTTATTTTCGAATTTTTCCGGAATAATCCAATGACAAAATCAGTAGAACTTAACATAGTGACAATAAACATTTGGAGGATTATGAAACATTATCAACAAAGATTTTATTAACTCGTTTCGCATATACATGYGATGGGAGCTTACCGGTGGCTTCACATGAACGGCGCATTTCGCTGAAAAGTTTTAATTCGTTTAATTCGTGACAATAAAACCTAATAAAGTTATGAAATAATTAACGCCATAGAAAATTTTAATCTTGGACAGATGTGGTAAAAATTAAGCGCGAGAACGCTAGGATTATTATGAACAAGTTATGGCTGACAAGAGAGATTCTCACCACTTTAATTGTCATTTTGTAGGGATAACTCTCTAAACAACGTGATTGTAATCACTGAAATTACCCGATTCAAATAAACCGCATCGAYAAAAGTATATTAMAACCSACCGCATGGAAGAGAAAAGTCTTTCTAGACTATAAGGYGATGTGTACTGCTGTGATAATCAGCGTTTGAAATACAGCAATTTGTAGAAGTAACGTTTAAACTCAGGTTCTCTATCGAGTTYGCAAATGAAACAGTTAAAGAATCAAACAAGACAGAAAGGCAGGGAAAGTGGAGAGCATTGTGTCTGACAAAAGCCGATCAAGTATAAGAGAGTAATAATAATAATCTTAATTGTTTTAGGATGGGAGAACAAGAAAAGGAACAGATGAAGACAAGATAGAGGAATTAACGAAGAGACGAAGGAAGAAATAWAAGAGGAATGATAAACGTAGGAAAGAACGAAAGGGAACTAAAGTGAAAAGGAAAAAGGGAATATTGAGAAACTACAATCACAGTAAATGATGGGGAACTGAGTGTTAAATAGCGCTAAATAGAAATACTCTCTTCACACTAAAAATTTAAGTCACCAAAAAAAAAAGAATTCTAAAAAATGTAATAAAAAGAGATGCTTTCCGAATCTGGAAGAATCCAGCAAAAAACGAGATAAAAAAGAAGATAAAAACGAGATAAAAACGAAGTCTTTTTTCTTTGACGAACGCGTTTTTGGGTTTGAAATGCTATTCTACGATTTAGCAAGCTTTGCACTACTACAGTAGCATTGCATGATAGTTAGAGGCTGTGAAGAGACGAAATTGAAAATAGCAACGCGTCTATTGTAAACTACAGTCTGCCTAAAAGAACAATTTTCACTCTATTGAATCATTCATGCTATWGAAACATTAGGGGTGCTTGTGAACAAGACTTGATCTATTGTTCACACTATATTCACTGGCAACTGGCTTGTTAAAACAACTCATGCTGTAWGAAAACAATATTTTMAAGCTACGTAAACAAARTTTTCCTACATTGTTCTAGCTTTGTAGCAGTTTTTATAGTTTAATCARTCGCACAGTTTGCGCTGACTCAWTTTCACTGACAACCAAACTCTATTGACCAAATATGGGTGTTCAACAGATCTGATAGCGCACAAAATAGTTCTACAGTGCTGGAATATTAACTTTAGCGGTCGTTAACTCTACTGCCATTTTTTGTTTCAATGTGACTGTTACACCTTGACCGGTAGCCACCGGTAGTGCCATGTTTATCACCCTACAGAGTCCAACCGCAATGGTCGSTCGAGTAACTAATACATAAAGAGCCCGTTGCCATCTTAATCGTTTATATTTTTCTTGCAATTACATTATATTACATGTACCAAAAAACATAGAGCCAATAATCAAGCGCTTTAAAAAGGTAAAGAGTTTTTATTTAATTTTGATTCTCCAAAGTAAAATCGGATTAATTTTTCATTTATTTATTTATCTATTTMTTTTTTGTATTTTAACCAGAAAATTCAGAAAAAAATATAAATAACACGTAGATTTTAATACTTCGTTTTGACACTAAATGGAATAAGGGAAGTCAAAAAAGAAATATAAAGAWTTGACAAATACGTTCCCTATCAAAATACTGATGTGAAACAAATTGGAGAGAACGCTTCATTCGTGAGATTTTATAAAATGCTCAAAATTGAACCAAAACTAAAAGCTTACAGACMAATTATATTTCCTTTGCATCKTMTTAAGTGGCAATTTTTTTAAGCCTATTAACGCTTTAGTTACRTTTATCGTAGTTTAGATATTATACATGAATATTGAACAATTGCCGCGTTTTTGAACTTCACATAATGGGCACAATGCCAGACAATAGATCGGTTAAGTGCTCTCAGATTGAACGAAAACCACAATCATTCAAATTTGCGTATAAAAGAGGCTTGAAGTAGATCCTTASGGAAAAGCGAATAGTAATATATGCAGCGAACACTAAAGCTCTAATTATATTTAACGTGGAATGAATCATGAAATTCTTAAGTTAATTTCGTTTAAGCTTTTATACTATTTTTATTATTTGACATTTGAAGCATGGMATGCCTTTACTCAAAACGCACACTCCAAGCAAGAATTCAACTGTTATAAATGTGCAATGTCTATTGTCTTCTTAATAATAGAGGCGCCAGCTCACAAACCGGTGTATTTGATTCACTTTTCAAAAGATCACGATATCCTTCAATTGAAAGTATTAGAATATTCAATGTAAAAGCCACGCGAATGTGTGAATGCGACACGTTTAGCTTGCACACGTTATTCTCAGCGGGACTCCATCAAAACCACATAGCAACAAACTCGTGAATCTATTCARAAAGCCACAAAAGTTTCTTGCACATGCAGTTTTAGAATTAACTTGAAGCCACCTTGTTCTGGTAACTTTGTTTTAATTATAAAAAGCATAATAAATAAAGGGTTGGGCTCTCCATCTTTGACACGATAGTTAAATTTTAAATGCTGACCGCCATTATAGAATGTCCAGTGAGCCACCATCTTGGATTTTTCAACTTAAAAAAAAATAATCAAGTTTATTCACGCATGCGCTCCTCACGAGTCTTCTCAAGCCACACACGGGAAAAAACCTCCTCGGAAACCCAGGGGCAATCCTCTGTCGTCAGTGAGGAACGAATGACAGAAATTTACCCCTGGGTTCCCGAGGATGAGGAGAAAATCTCAGAACTCATAATATAAATATGTCAAGTTTGAACTCGCTTAATCTTCAAGTTATATGGATTTAAAAGTCCCTAAAGAATGTTTCAACTTTTGTTGAATACAAATTAGTCCAYAGGGGAGGGAAAGGGTGAAACGGAAGGGAAATAAAAGAAAAACCTTTGCAAATGTTTTCCCCAAAAAAATACTGAGCTTTAAGGGAACATTTTCAAGCTTTTTGAAATTTAGGGACTATGAAAAAACGATTTAAACGGATAATATTGCCTTGCGATTATGAATGGATTGCGTTACGCGCGATTAGCGTTACGGTTGTGAAACGTAACACTAGTGATTGAGCGAACTCAGCACAGGGAACCCATAAGTATTGTATTTCTTTATTATGCTCTTTGCTTACCATCAAGATAACAGAAAGAATATCTGAAACACTTCTGATTTACATATACATTTTCATTTTTTTATCGTAAGCTATTTTATTACATACGTTCAAAAATAATTTACAATATTGTCAAAATACTTCTTTTCTCTGTACACCTCTTTCTCGATTGAAAAATGTTTCTTTAAATAATTTTTTTCCCCTATGTTTAATAATATATTTTAGATAACTCTGTATTGTATTTAACAAAATACTTTTTTTAATAATCTTTTCAGATATTATTATATTATTATTCTATTAACATAATAGTACTTAATACATTAAAGCATTAAATACAGTCGAAATTATTCAATTTTTTAAAACTGAATAAGATTCTCAGTTGGCAGCTTATTCACTCATCCTGCCTAAGTCATGTGCAAAGTTGTCGAGCATGACTTGGAATTCTCTTATGATGACAAAGTTTCGCACTAGGTACATTAATGTTTTATCTGCATTATCGACAGCGAGATMTTTACAATGACCATCAGAGCAAAGAAGATCCTGTTGAAGAGATAACAAAAATGATTATCCAATAATAATTAATTTTTGCAAAATGYATTTTAATGCATAACAATAAATRGCAAACAATATTGGGCTAATTATTCATGAATTTATTTTATCACTAGACAAGAAAACAGTCACACAAGACAAAGTACATTATAGACCAAAGGTATATCATCGACTGAAACTCGGTTTTGAGGCGAGCAAAAAGCAAAATTTAAGATTTTAAAATGGCATCCATTTTTCAATATACTCACCAAAAAATCTTTAGTGTCATCATTGAGTCTTTCTTCCAAATTGGGAAATGTAGGTTCTTCAGGTGGTTTGATATCATTCTCTTTCAACTAGAAATTCAGTAAATAAATAATRAAATAAATAATAATCTTATATTTAAAGTATGTGAAGGCAAGCTGATGTAAGAATAACAAGAAAAATATATATTAAATAATAATATAATAATAATATGATAATAAAATAGATATATGATAATAATGTAAATATAATGAATATTTTTAATTTCTTATTTTTATTTTCAAATTTATATTTTTTTTCAAAATGTTTCAAGAGTTCCTTGTCAGAATTATTTTTTATATATATAATGAAAATATAACTCAAACACAATCAAAATGAATCATATTTCCTAGTGATATACTTTAAAAAATAATAAATATTCATAAACATAGATTTTATACTTACAGTGCTGGATATAGCTGGAACAATCTGTTTCTTTATTTCATTAKTTAAAACATAGCTTTCATCTTTCAGTTCCCATGAGCCCATTTCATAGGCACTTTTGTAAATACAATTGCTTGCTACTTTAAACCTTGAGAAAATCCAAGAATCATCTTCTAGAATATCTGCATCTGTGCGCTGAAATAATAAAAAAAATAGCCTGAATGAGCATTTTTAGCCCAGGAGTTGAAAGATCCTTCTAAATAATTTTCATACTCTTCATCAACCCCATATCCCACTAAAAATACTGAAATTTCTTTAAAAATTGAAAAACAAATCCGCTCCCCCCTCCCCTCTCCCCATATCCACCCCCCTCCCCTCTCCGCATATCCACCCCCCTTCCTCTCCCCTCTCCGTATATCCGCATATCCGCGGATCTTATCCTATTTAATGCCTCATAGAAATATAAAAAATGCAATGGCCGACAAACATTTCACTTTAGCAGGTGAATAAAATATGTAATTAGATCTTTTAGGGTGAATACCCTTCATTGGGAGACTACAAGAGTGATGGAGCTACAAATTTAAAACAGGGGAAATTTCCCTAACCGCCAAAAAATACCCGAATTTGAACTTCAAATTAATTGCTAAAATATTTTTGACGTATAAGTAAGATCTCAATTGTAACAATATAAAATACTTTTCAAAAATTTGAATGAATTCACGTTGTTCTTTTAAAGAAAAAGAACAAGATTGTTTTCACATTAACGGTGTTTTCCTTCACCACAGAAGTGTGTGGTCAAAATTAATATGCAATTAAATAACCGGCCCCAACTCATGTAACTCGACTACGAAAATGTTTTTGTTTGACGGSCAACGTTTCCTATCMGTACTACAGTACGCATATAACAAGCTAAATGACGCAGAACAGAAAATACAAAGAAGCTTRCTGTTACCAATMAAAACAAAATGTCCGAAAAATGACMGATATTATTCAACATTGTTATGACCCGACAACCAGCCATACTAAGCCAAATGCAGCATTSTAAACTTATAATACTATTCAAAACTATTCGATAATGTTATAATCTTACCTGTCCAGGAGATGGGGGAGGCACTGTAAGTTTAAACTGAAGCGGAGAAAGTTCTTCGATATCTAATCGCTTTTTAAGTTCATTTTTCTGCAATAGAAAGATGTTTCGTTTAAGTTGAGCTTGAATTGACCTATACTATCTACCTCGTCTCGGGATAAACAGATTTATTTGTTCGTACTGGCTAAATAAACCTTCTTTTCTTGTTAAGACAATTAAAAAAATAGCATCAACAAAATATTAAAGGTATCTATGTAACACTTTTATTGAAAAAAAATTCTAGACTTCACTAAATGTTCGATTTACGTTTGGGGTTGAGTTTCAGTGAAAGTCGTCATTACCAGCCTACGTGCGAGCCATATAGTCTTCCAARAACGAAGGCTTTTCATCCTTGGACCTTTCAAACAAATTCAAAACGCAATCCTCTTCTCGCAGTCAAAAGGTTTTTAAACAAAAAATATACATACAAAAGTATGATAATAAGATTTGAAATGCCCTAGGACTTGATAGCTCATTTGATATGGTGAAGTGGGAGTATTTACATCGGCCCACGCAAACTACACGCTAAAGGAAATATAAYGATTACTTAGATATCGAAAGGTTAAACTTACCAGGATTTCTTCACAGCTACCTGATAATAAACGTGCTTTGCTAATCCGCTGTTTATATTCGAGTCTCTCTTGTGGAGTGAGACGAATTTTTCTTGTTCCAATCATTTTGCTTGATTTTGCACTGATTTTGCTTGAGATATACTCTTGTCGTTGAATTGATGTGGGTTTGAATGGCATAGCGCTTGCCACCGATTCAATATATAGAGTGACAGGTTGTAGGGGACTTTTCGTAGTGCTATTTTCATCTTCTGACTCACGTTGCAGGTATTACAATGAGCCGACGTCAAAAAAWTTTTTCGGAGAAACACTGCTCGCGACTTCCGAGCTTCCGGGAAAACCCCCAACATACACATGACTGTAATACCTCGCGATGAAAACAAAACTTAAAAATCAAGTAATAGCTTTAATATATTTGCAGATGAAGCCTCGTATATTCGCTAAAGCTACAAGTATTTATTTTTTCTAATTTGGATATACTTTCATTGTGCAATACTTATTTCCCTTTTGACTTTCGCATCGTGCTTGTAATGCTTGACTTCCGGTGACCCCCGACCCCACCAGTACTCAGTTGTACATTTTTATGTACATAATGCTGGGTAAAAATCCCATTTGATGGTTTTAAATTCAATTTGATAGTTTTCTAAACAACTATAAGGGACTTTTTTTATCCTTATCACCTCAAGGAATCTCATTTTTCTATCGTTCATATACATGATAATTATATCTAGGTGGGTATGATTCGGACGTCATTACTTCCGCTTCTATGCTCAAAATATCTGAGCTTCAGCACTTTTCATTAWGTCAAGGTATATTTTACGCTTGACTATTAGTCTCATTCATTTACTCGATGATTTAAATAGATAGCTAACTATTTTAAACTTAATTCATAGATTAAGGAATTAGAAATATTCCAATAAAACAGTTGCCATTCCTTAACGTTTATCAGGCAGAAAAAGTGCATATTGTACATTTTTTATCGGCACATCAACGTCATTAAGAAATTGATATGATATTACAATAAAATGTTTABACAGTTAATTAAGGAGCAAGGGTTTTTTTCTGAGAATTCCTTTGGATTTGTTAAAGAGGGGTCAATATAATCCCTATACAAGATGCCAGCTATTTATCGAATAAAAATCAAAAACAAATTGATCTCATGACTCGAGTCCACGTGTATTGAACAAAAGAGTTGGTCAAGCAATGCGGAGTACTGTTTGTTTGGCTAAAAAGGGAAATATGTTTTTTATGTACATTTTAAAAATAAAAACGCTYAACGATTTTTTTCTTTTTTCGTAACGTCATATTTACACCTTAAATTCGTGTGAAATAATAGGAACAAACTAAACACGAGTATTAAGGAGTGTTAAAGGATGCATGATAATATATGAATATAACTGTATGAGTATTGGGTATTACATGTAATGCTATAAAATGTACTGTTCAATTATTTAATTTTCAATCTTGTCACCTCATTCGCATTGTTTTCGTATAAATTTCGAGCACAATTTGTTTTCATTATTAGTTTTCACTATTCATATCATTGTTTTTATTATCGTTATCATTTAKCTAGGGTTATAATTATCATTATTATTATTACTAATTAAATAACCTTTGGATTTTGAATAATAAATTTAATAGAAGACCACTCAATCAGTTCATAATCAGTTTATAGCAAGTTTAATGGGATCTACATCAAACTATAAGGTGAATACATACTATTTCTGTTTCTGAAACACGACCGTTCTTGTCGAGAAAAGTGAAAATGAAAGCGTACATCTTCTTACATGTAACGTGTCACATGTCTTTGGAACAAAAGTTCTAAATATTGACTTCTATAATTGCCTTATAGCGGATATGAGTACTTTGCACTTCTAAGCATTGAGAGCAATTTTGGTCTCTTCATAGGATGTGGATCCTAGAAATTCTATTTCTGAAACTAGAAGCGAAATGAGAGCTTCAGCGTTTTGGGGATGAAGGAATCACATCAAGGCGTAATTATTGCCAAATAGAAATAAAAAACAATTTATTTTGCAACAATGAAGGGTGCATTGTCTTTGAGACCGTCCGCTGTCTGTAAARAACCTCGATAAGAAGTTAAAAATACGACAACTTTGTGGACAAAAATAAGCGGATTAAAAAGGACGGATCCCGGTACATGGCTAGCAAGTACTCTACTGCAAGCTAGCAGTGCTTAGGCATTTTTGAGGAGGCAAGATGACAAAAACAAAATGCTATTACTTCCTTCTGTAATCAGGCCTTGATCACTTGATTCTCAAAACGCGCAAACTTAGAGGATGTCATTTGTATAAAGCAGGTTGAAAACAGGTTTTTAGAAGYACGCGCAAGGCGTATTGTCTGTGATTCYCTAGACCATCAGCTGACTGTAAAGAACCTCGATCAGAAGTTAAAAATACGACAACATTGAGGACAAGAATAAGGATGGATCCATGGGGACGTATTGGGCAAGTACCATGCACACTTTCATCAAACACTGCTTAGGCATTTTTGAGGAGGCAAGCCAACAAAAACAAAATCTTACTTATTATATATAGCCTTTGAGCCCTTTATTATTTGATTCTCACAGCAATCGCAAACTTAGAGAGGGTGTGATTTGAAAAGCCGGGAAAAACAGGTTTTTAACCAAGTACACTAGCAGGCAACAATAACAAAAAGGTTACTTCCTTATTAGTCATGTCTTTGTCATTTGATTATCACAACAAGCGCAAACTTATAGATGGTGTGATTTAAAAAGCCGGGAAAAACTGGTTTTTAGCCAAATACATGGGCAACAATAACAAAATGTTACTTCCCTAATAGTCAGCCCTCTGTCATTTGATTATCACAACAAGCGCAAACTTCAAGAGGATTTCATTTCAAAAGCCGGATAAAACCGGTTTAAATGAGCAGGCAACAATATCAAAAAGGTTTCTTCCCTAAAGTCAGCCCTCTSTCATTTGATTATCACAACAAGCGCAAACTTCGAGAGGAATACACTTCAAAAGCCGGGAAAACCCGGTTTATAGCCAAGTACATGAGCAGGCAGGCAACAATAACAATAAATAAATTTAACTTTCTTGATAGTCAGTCCTTAATCATATGATTTTCACAATATGCGTACAAGACTCAGTGATTTGATGAGCGAATATTGATTTCTTAGAAACAGGTAGAYAACTTGCCTATATCACGTGATCGATTCATAGTTCCAATTCACCAACTGAACACGTAATGGTCAGTACTGTGTTTAAAAGATCAGTGTTAGGTTTAATTAAGTAGACTATACTGAGAGAATAAGTTCAGAGGTTTGAACTAAAAACTGCTGCTCATGTATTTCATCAGAGAAGAACTGAGAATCTTATCGTATGTTCAGACCCTAACTTTATTTTGTTTCGCTTTTCTCGAATATTCCATAAGCCTGATCGCTGTTCCACACCAAAATATCTCAAGTGACGAGTTATCGGAACAAACTTTTCTCTGCAGAAAAAAAGTGAAAGTATTCATCTATTGCTTTCTATAAAGCAAATCCCTTGACCTCTAAGCCCTGAGCACGCGATTCCCTTTTACTTGACAAAACTGTGCTATATTCTTAAATATTCAACAACTTGTAGATTTAGAAACTATCAATAGCAAAAATAAGGAAACAGGGCGGACTTTTTCCATTGTTTTAATTCAAAAGTGGATTTCGACCAGCATTTTTAGTACAATGATTGTGAAGGTTGTATCACATTGAGGTTCGTAAGTTATGTATGTATCTTTGCATAAAATGATTAATATCATTGATGAATTTATTGATTTAATAAGTTTAAGGAAATTGACGATTTATTTTTGGGTGGGTCATCAGCGAACGTGACCCGTGAACCAGCTATCGAGGAAAAACATATCGATTCTATTTTAAACACTCGGTTGCAATTCCATTGCTAAGTTACATCAGACTTGAAAACGAAACTGAAATGTTTGCTGTTTGTTTCATTAATCGACTCGTTTTATGGTTACAATTCATTTCTTCCTTTTTGAGTAATTGGTTGACTGACAGACTGATCGAGTGACTATCTGGTTAATCAATTGATTAATCAGTTTTTCTTTTTTTATCAATTATTTTTATTTTGATTGATGGATGGATGGATTGATTGATTGTCGATTCATTGATTCATTGATTCATTGATTCATTGATTCATTCATTGATCAACATTTTTAGTGCATTAATTGAATTCAAGTTTTTACATCAAACGTTTTTTTAATAAATGAATGAATTAAAGACCATTTTAAAAAACTTCAATTTTTAAAAGACAACATACAAAGCACAGACGATCCAGTGTGAAGAAAATCTCTTCCACCTGACCTCCTCCCAGTTTTGTCCAATTCAACCGTATCACAACCGTACACAGCTGTGCCATAAACAACTACCACAGGAACCCCAGSRAAGTGATGCTGAAAAGCTTTGCATTTCATAAGTCCACTTTGTTTTAATATCCGCAAATGTGAAGGTGCTGAAAAGATTATCCCAATTGCATTCTCTGTGGGCATCCCAGAAGATTTAAGTCTCACAAGTCCTTTGTGCAAGTTTTCTAAAACTTCATTTTGTCCTGAGCCATTGATTATTATAGAAGAAGTTTTCAAATTYCCAGCAAGAACAAGCCCRACAATTTCATTATAAGTTACGTTGGTGGAGTGAAAAAGTGCACAGTCYGAGTAKACTCCAATAATGACAGTCTAGAATGTTAGAGAAAGAATGTTACCACAAAGACATTGTGWAAGAATTGATAATAAAAACACTTATCAGTCACCAGTTGCAGTGTTATGAAAAGAATAAGAGATCGGCAAGACAGAGGTCACAGCAAGACTAGTGGTTCGATATTCATGTACAGTAATTTCAAATATGTTTTGTATCATGTGATGGTATACCCATTTTAAAATAACTATCTGGTATCCATGACCACTGCAAAAATTATTGCTCAACGCAATAATTATGCTACAATGGTAAAAATGTCTGCAGTCTTTTCAACTGGGTTTCACCAGTAAAGTGTTTTGCTGAATTCAATTTATACATACACATAATGGTTGTTCCCATTAAAGCCTGACCATTTATTAATAATCGCTTAGATTATTATAATTTCACTGCGTTGAACACGTTTGTTCAGATARGAACCCTTAATCTCATGATACACTACATGTAAATTTCAGTTTTGTGGATAAAATCACAAAACAGCTGTTTAGAACTGCATTTATGGCAAGAAAATACAGATTGTGGCATACTCCGAGGCATGTACATGTACTTGCAATATATGGAATCTAATGCAGTTCCATTCTCTAACTTAGAGTGTGGATACGTAGTGTTAATCAGCAATCCAAAGACATGCACTGGTGCTATACACACTACATATTTATATTACATCACCACGGTATTGTTTTTCTTAACATAATGATATTTACTATGACTTATGATTCTAAGCATCTACTGAAGATATTTTAATTTTCTTGTCAAAACCACTTACCTGTTCTCCATATTCTTTCTTTGTTCTCACAGCAAAACCAGTAAGTTTTCCAAGAGACACTGGATGCACCAGTGCAATTACTAACTTCACAGGTAGATTCATTTTAGGAAGAAATGACGCCATTCCACTTATACTCTTATACTTGTCACGTAATGGTAAATGAAAGCCGCATGACTGAACRCCATCAACCCTTGGGATTAAAACCATTGAATTCTTTACMCCATACTTTCTTCCATCCTCCTCTAAGATCTCAACATCAGGCTGTTCCCTTCCAAGTTGATCTACCCAAAGACCAGTGCAGCCAATCAGRGTGCACTTTCTTGGGAGGTTTTGCACATTWAGTTTTAGYTGCTTTGTAAACTCCTTYTTATAGCAGGGTATTTCAGAAAATGTAGAAACTCTTGAAGTAAATAATAAAGCAGCTTGTGGTTCATTAGCTACGTTGATTAAGTCGTCTGAAAAGTCAATAATTGGTTTGTAGCTTGCACATTCCACTGCTTGAGTTAGAGTTAAAAATTCACGGCGAGTTCTGCGAATTCTGTTCACTATTTCGCTCCACAATTTACACACCAACGCCGCAAACTCCAAACTCCTTCCCGGCAACAATTTTAACACTGTTTCGACAATCTCTGCCATTTGAGACAAGCATTTTGAAGGCAGATCTTGCACCTCCTCGATGTATCGCGCCATTTTGAATTCCGCGCGAAAAGCCTGGAACCAACACGCGCTGCAAAGGTAYTTGGGTAATAATCAATATGGCGGACGGAGCAGAGTTTGAAGTGAATCTGTGCAACAAGAAATTTTGACAWTTATGCTCATGAATTTTCTTCATCATCTTTTTCAAACCAAAGTAGACTGTAGCGTTGTAAGCTCAGATGGAYACTCTCCTCAAAACCTCATYAGTTCTCACTGGAGAGAGCGGAATCAAGGATTTATGGCAGCTCACTTCATCAAGCCGCCGGTCTTTSTACTCTTTCAATTCGCGTTTCCAGTTCAARTCGATTCTGTTGTTGTGAAGCCGAAAGTTGGCTCTCAGATATCCACTGGTATTGATTTATTTGTTGCTGGAATAACGCCTGAAAGAGGTGAGAGCAATGTTACAACAAAGCCAAGAAAATYAAATAACAAAGACAAAAGTCTGCTGGCCCATCAGCAACAACAACAAGGAGAGGCTTTTTCTTTATATAAACAACATAAAAACTTCAAGAGACGAAAAGTTGAATTAGATTTAAGTTCAGGGAATAATGCAGCTGCGAATGGCATTCCAAAAGATGAAAAATCTCAAGAAATTTCTATCCATAATTATTCTATAACAGTCACTGCAAATTCTTTCAGGAATGAACATCGSGATCGGTTCTCATTGGTCAGTCGTATAAACGAAACAAGTGGAAAAACTTTAAGGGTGGTTAACAGAATGTATAATCATCGTGATAATAGCACGAGAAACGACATCACTGAGTATGATTTCTTCCATTCTCATGCATTAACTTATGTGACACATTTAGTTATTTCAATTCATAGGATGAAAGGTAGTTGTGTACCGTCGTTAGGGAAATTGGAGATATGGGGCAAACCTTCGACATCCTGTGGTAAAAATATTAWGGATTATGCTCTAGAAATCCAGACGAATATCCATCAAGAAAATGCGACTGTAGTTGTAAATCCAGTTAAAAGTGAAACTAAGCTCATTGCAAAAGAAATAGAAATAAGAGATCCAACTGAKAGTGAGAAAATCCCTCCTGATTTTATTGACCCTATTACTTGCAAGTTAATGACAATACCTATGATATTGCCGTCAGGGTTAAACATCGATATGACAACCCTGGAAAAGCATACRCAGGCCGAAAGACAATGGGGTCGCAAGCCATCAGATCCATTCACTGGTGTTACATTTACAAATACCATTAAACCTTTACCCAATAGTGCACTGAAAGTCAGAATTGATAAATTCATTCTCAGTTCTGGAGTAGATGTAAGTGGATTTGGTAGGACTGTAGGAAGATCTACATGTATAAATGACAAAAGAGATGCCAAAATAGTTAACCCTGTATCTTCAAGAGCTGAACATAATCAGACATATTTAAAAACAAGCTTATTCAAAGATAAATTGAAGGCAAGGAAGGATACATGTACTTTGCAGGATAGTSATCACAGTTTTGGTAAAACTGAGGAAGAGGGAAAACAAAGTATGTTGATTTGACAACAATTATTGATGCATATGAATGTTTGTGTGTATATGTATGTTTTAAGCCTTCTATGTGGCTTGATTATTAAGAAAATACCTCCAAACAAAGTGATGATTTTAAGTGTAGTGGATTGGGTGGATTTCTACCCCTAATTTTGATCCATAACAAGTYATAAATTTTAGAGTGTTCACAGTAAACTGAATTATCAATTCTGTTAAGTTATGTTAGCCATAGTCTTTTGAAGGTCCATAATTTGTGTATTGACTTTGCCAGCATTGGATTGTTTTCCAACCCCTTTACTGTATCCACAGTATACCCCTGTAATAATTACTGATTAGAAAATTTGCAATTTACTCAATGCATGTAAACCCTGATTTTACTATCTATCGTAGGTTCAAGAGATTTAGTAACTCAGACACATGAAGAAAGAATATCTAACAGCCTTGATAGTGCATTGATGGAGACACTTCAGGGAGCAACTTTTATAAGAAAGAAGCCCTCAACAAGTGCCAACTTATTCTGTTCCTCTCTTGCTAGAAACAATGGTAAAAACAAAATAGAGAAAAAATATAATTATTTAGTTTTCTTAAACTTTGTCAACATAATGTTGTTTAATTTTTTTAAGAATGAAAATTTAATTTTATGATTTTAGATTACAGTGTGAACACTRAAATAGTGAAAAAGTGCAAACCAAATAGTGCTAAATAACACAATAAAGTTTATATAAGGCAATACTCCAGTTTTGAATTCAAAGCGAGTAACTGCTGTTTTATTTGACAGCAGATTCTATTACGCAAAGAACTTACCAAAGACAAAAGAAAGCACGAGAAAATGTTGTTAATACAATAGCGCTAAGAATCTACATTTTCCTCGAGTTGAGGCTAACCCTGCTCATACCTTAGGTCTTATGGGAATACAGGGATAATTTCAACTCGGGGAAAATGCAAATTTTCAAGTCTATTGTAATTATAACAACATTTTCTCGTGCGCTCTTTTGTGTTTGTAAAGTCTTTGCGCAAGAGAATCTGTTGTCAAATAAAGCAGCGGTTTTTCGCTATGAATTYGAAACTRGAGTATTGAAAACAAAGGAATTATYACAGTTCAGTTCATGGTTTTATGTTTGCACTGTTTTATTTTTAATACTAAATTAAGTCTACTTTGTGTTTCAGATATGTCAAATGTTCTTAACACAAGCCTTGATCCTACATCCATTAGTAAAATCAAAGAACCAAAGACTTGTATCACTTGTAAAGTGGCTCTTGACTCTGCTTTTCAGTTGCCATGCCAACATCTAATGTGTAGGAAGTGTTTGCTAGTCAAATGCAATTCTACTAAGCATGCTGTCTGTTCAAGCTGCCAACAACCATTTCACCACAAGGAAATTACAAGGGTACATACAGTCTAAACAGTTGTGAAATTACTGTGCTGTTGGTAATGATAATAAAGTTGCTCGTCTTTGCATTTTCTTTTCGTTTGTTTTATTTTATTTTATTCTATTTTATTTCATTTCATTTTCCTTTTTTTTCTTTTCTTTTCTTTTCTTTTTTTTTTCTTTTTTCTTTTCTTTTCTTTTCTTTTCCTTTCTTTTCCTTTCTTTTCTTTTCTTTTCTTTTCTTTTTTCTTTTCCTTTCTTTTCTTTTCTTTTCTTTTCGTTTCTTTTCTTTCCTTTTCTTTTCTTTTCTATATTATTCTTTTTTTTTGTGGCTTACACTCTATTCTGTTTCCTTGTACACTGTTCTATGAACTCTTCTCTATAATCAACTTCTCTATTGTGTTCTATTTCATTCCATAGTGATCTCTGAATGTGATTCTATTGGATACTACGCAACAGTATTACAACATATTTAATCTCCGACTGTTTGAGCTGAAGCCCGGCTCTCAACACTTCTATAGTATTTTAGTATTGTTTTAGTATTTTAAAGTTCATTGTGCAGCGTTTCTTTCTCTATATGTTGGGTCGTTTTTTTCTCTCTCTCTTTTTTCTTTCTCTCTTTCTTTTGGGTGGGGGAGGGGGGAGTGGGGGTAAGGGCTATATAAGTATTGCAGGTGAGAGTYGTTCATCTAATTCATGTCATTTTAATACGGAACGCGGAAGCAATATTCTTGGCACTTGAAACTTTCGAYCCCTTATCACTGCACCCGAATCCCAAAGAACACCACCCTCGCACACCCTCTCGGCGTTCTTTCTTTAGATTTTATACCCATAAAAGGAGAAACACAATAGCCGRCGCAGATATACATCAGTTGAATTGACAAAAAACCGTCACGGTTAAATAAGCGAGAAATTAAAAACAAAAAAATTGAATTTAAAAGAGGAAATTGAGCGAATCAAGTATCCATTATTGACTCCTACGCCCTCTACACCACCTACATGACTCAAAACACCGCGCCTACGCARAAACATGTAAAAGAACTGAGCCGGTAATTTTATAAAAACCGTTTAACGTGTAATGCAATTAGAAAAAAACCGCGATGAAYTATACAGTTTTCGATAGTGCGTAGCCGTATGATCAGTGTATGAGGTTATTAAAATATCCTGTGATTCGATTGGCTTAGAGGCATTAGAGGAGTAGCATCTATATTTTGTTTTATGGTATCAATTCTGAGAATGTAATCATGGAATAGCACAATCTTACTGAGGACTCAGTCAGATCATTGACAGTCTCTTTATTCCGACAAAGTATTCAAGTCCTATAAACGTCAGTAAGTTGTTTCAGCTCCGTTTTTACGGTGTTAAAAGTTTATCTTTTCTTTGACAATCATTTCGCGGTTAAAAATATTTGCTGCAGTCATCAAATGAGAAAGAGTGTCAAGTCATGTCAAAATTATGACTTCTTTCACCAACAAAAATTATTTTCCTGGCATAATAAAAAGTACAAATTTTTAGTTGTTGCCCAATTCTGCTTCGCTTTTTGGTGCAAAACCACAGCCTCCGCGCGCAACTTGTTTTCTAACCGCGAAAAGAGCGATTCATTTACAGTTTTGAAGCCACTCGTGGTATTATCAGTGCRAAATATTGAAATATCATTACCAACTATACCTGAACCGATTGGTTTTATCAATCTTTATCATTGTTTATAGATATTAATTAGATCAAGTCCATTTAATCAAAACATTACGGMCTAATAASAGCCAATYTRAACGTGCCTATTACCRAATGTGCAYTTACTAATCTTTTTATCAAAGCTTTTTAGAAGACTTTAGTGAATTTTTAAAATCGAAAACAACTTTATATGCATATGATACCTTGGTGTAGTCCTAGATTTATTCAGTTAAAGCATTTTTATTAGATCGATCTCACTTTAGTTTATGTTTTTGCSTTAATGATTCCAACGTTTTTGCTTACAATGAATGTCGGAAGTGAGCCCATGTCAAAAAATACCGATTGATCCCAAACTCTTTGTTTTTYCGGCTTCCTATCATCATTAAATTGAAGTTTATTTGTGTATTAAAGCTTAATTACCGTGTGTGGGGGTTAAAACTAATTCCAATCTCTTCAATTCGATGAAGAAAAAAACAAAATAGWGTGCATATAGTTCCATGGGGGCTCATGTTGTTGTATGTCTCTTCGCCTCCTTAGCTTTAACTCTCCTCATCTTGGACTGGTTTTATTTAATCAAGTGGTTCGCTTCGTTGGTAGATTGATTCATTAGTGCATGTCGACTACCACCATCTAAGTCATTAGCTTTTTTTCAAATCGGAAGCAGTCATTGAACCATTCAAAACATAAATGGCAAACGTCCGGAAGGTGTGGCCCGTACGTCATAGTTCGATGTTTATGCYTAGTATTTGAAGTGCACTCACAATAAAAGCAAAAGTGTTAGAATTTTAACGYGTAAGCACTCTCACAGTTCTCTGTGTTAGATTTTAAGAATTTCACGACTTTTTAGAGTACTACTCTCGACATATTTAAACTTATCACCAACMCACAGAAGAAGCCGGGTAAGTTTAAATTCACTTTGAATTTAATTGTCTGTTTTTGAAAAGCAGAGCCGTTTGATTTGGGACAGGGAAATGCGTCGTTGAGACTGAATGGGMACCTAAGTTAACTATTAGTACTATCTATTAAATAGGAACCCTCAAAACTGCTCTTGTTCTACACGAAAACGATAGTTGAAAGTCCAATATTTCCGGGGACTTTTTGCGCAACTCAGTCAGCTTTTCGGTTTAGCTTTCTGACATTTTATAACCGAATGCGAGTTTTTGAAGAATTTACCGGCAACAGCTTAGGATAGTTTTGTAAAAGGCGTTTTAAAGAGAACTTGTATGAAAAGTGCAAAACAGGTCTAAATTCATAGAAATAGTCAAAAGCTGGCTAAGTAAGAATGAAAACTGATCGTAGTTTTAAATATTACATAGCTTTTGGAAATGTTATTATGTATGCGTGTCTACAAAACTAAACTTACACTAATTTGCAAATTTCCAATTAACTTTCAGTCTTTTAAAAACAACAAATCAAAACGTATTTCCGTGACATCCTCTTGATATTTCTATGAAAATAATGATGATTACAGGATGTGTATAGTTACTGAAAAAAAAATAACAAAACACGAAAGTGAAAAACTTCCGTTTCAAGTGCCTTTCTCGTTATTATCCTTGGGTTTCCTGTGGGCATGAAAAACTGAGTTGGAGTCTAGAACTAGATCTAGCCTTCTTGGTTAAACCGCACTCCAACCAAGCTAAGAGAACAATTCAGCAACAAAATGGTGAAATAATAKATGCGGGAAATTTTTATGAAGTTTTCGGTCAAATTAATTAAACTTCAGTGATACACTCAATGTACAKAACATCCTCGGAAACCCAAGGAGTTTGCGAGGAACTGAGAATGAGATGGAAATAATAACCCTTGAGTTCCGAGGATGCGCACCTAATGGGATAAGGAAACCACCGTAAAGACGGTCAATAAAAACACGATAAGAAAAATAAGATTGATTGTAAGAATTCGGTGAGATTCCATCATGTCACATGTCACTCCTATAATTCACAATATCGATAAGAGATCTTCCCAGTTTATTCGGTATTCTATAGTAATATTGATAGAAATGACGGATCAGTATTGATGGTATTTAATAAGCGGTAATAGATATAAACATGAGAAAAATTACTTCGGGTTGAACTTTAATTGAGAGGCGTTTTCAGCAATGTAGAGCTAGAGTACAAACACTAAAAGCGTCCAATACTTTTCACTATTTACTCACAAAATAGTGCTAATTRAACAATAGAAARCAATAGAATTAGCATAATTTAGYAGTRTTTAGTGGTATTTATGTTRCACAGTTTTAATATTTGTACTCTAGGATTGTAAAACATAGAGATATCTGTATGTTATGACACTGGTCAGTAGTGACTGGTGACATGGTTCATTACACGATTGTAACACATGTATCATTTAAAAGTCAGTCAATAATATCAAGATTTCCGTGATGGGGGGATGTTCCACGAAATCCATCCATACCATCAACACCTTTTTATCAGCGCACACCTTGTCAAACCACACAGTCTTTTTTCCTCCGTATTAACATYACAAACATGTGTTGTAAAAATTCACTAACAAGGAGGGGACATTGTGGTTAGTTGCTACGACCCCATTTGCTCATCAGTATCCGGTTAGATGTAATAAGTACTGTGCTATTTTAAGATAGTGCACATTCAGTAGTGCTTGCATGAACCCTGGGCAGATTTTAGCGATTGAGAGGAAGATAAACCGGCATATTGTCCATTATTAATCCTACCAACGGAGCTCTGAGAATGCATGCGCCATGAGTATAAAGAAAGCAGCGCATTCCGTGGTGTGGTAGAGCTTGGATTGCTGCTACAGACCAGCATATATTTAGAGCTCTATATAAATTTTGTAATGGCGACACATAAAAACGTTCCTTACTGCGTGAAGTCTTCTATGGTGAGTACATATAACTCCGATAATCCGTGAAATACGTAAAATTATATTTTCAATCATCCCCTCAACACATAATTATTCAATGAATTTAATACTGTAACAGTAACTATAACATCATGCTGAATATCGTGAACTGTGTGATGATATATCTAAATATTACATATCTGTCTCAAATAGGCCATGTTTATAATCCCACAGGGCCCAAATAAGTGATTAGGGCGTTTTCAATTGTTTCACGATTGATCACTTCATTGGRAATCAACTTTTCTGAATGTTCCATGGGATTTCTTCCAATGACCCCTCGCCCTTTGTTGTGGTTAGAAGTGCAGCTTTTGCCAAACATACCCAAAACATATCATATGAATATCGATCTGTATGAATTCATTTTTCCATATGGAAGCGATGGAGCTCAATTGCCAAAGATTGCACAAGAATGTTTTTGAGGCTTTCACTCGAAATATTTATACCCTATGTTAAAGAATAGAATACTCGTGGTACTGTCGAGTAAGCTATATATGCTTGACTATAGAACTCACTTTTTAAACAAGTGTTACTTTGGAGCTGTAAAATGGCTGAGAATATTTTTTAGGCCGATTAAATACCCGAAGCAAACCCGCGAAAGTCAATCAAATTAACTCAAAGAGACTCAAATACATAATGGGAAACGATTAAACCATTTTTCAGTCGAGTTTGTAATCTCAATTGCAATACACCAGGAATACATTAAGCGAAGACTAAATATTTAGTGATTTTTTTTAGTTTTCCATCTTTTTTATTCAATGCTTGCCACATGGAACCGTTATCATTTAATACCATATTAGAGACAGCCATATTTCTGTACCCTACTGTGCTTAATATYAGAAGTTCAAAWATACGTCCAAACAGGTGGCGGCTTAAGCTTTGCTTAAAGCTGTGGCTACATWGGGCACAATARTCAGGCAAAGTGCACGTGCGTGACGCCTTTGCAATGTTATTGTAACGTTATCMTTTTTCAACTTACAATCTATCCGTTATAAACATACAACCGCAGCAAAAATAGAGTATCGAAGGAGACATTATAGCTTATAGGACTGAGATGTATATGGAGTATTGGCAGGGCACATTCTTTTTGAAATATTTAAATTAAAATATCTATATTTAAATTCAAAATTTTGTTCCAATTTGAATTAATTCGAATGCCACAGTAATGCAGCTATTTCAAAACAGGTTGTCGGAAAGGACAGTGAGCGCACGAGCGAAGTATCATGGGTTTTCAATATTGACAGCCAATGTATATTCTTTGCCGAAAAAAAAAGACAGACAAAAAGACCTGACAAATCACTGAAGGCCGTCATTTGAGCGGAAACGAAACGATCTGCGCTTTAATGGTGTATATAATGGCATCAACAATCATCACACACAATATCTTTTGCCGCATTTAACAATCTCTAGCTCCAAAAACGTTTTTTTTTTTTTTAAGAAAGGTTTATACTATAAATGTGACCTAGATGTGTGATAAGTAAATGCKTACAAGCTTTCATGTTAAAAACAACATTATTGAGCAAGAAAGCAACTGAATACGAGCGATATCGATATGCAATCGACAAGGTTAATCGGTTTCTACAAGATCACTTAATGGCGCCTTCTCGCTGTGTGCGGGTAGCATACAGACCAAACCGCACAAAGAGTTATCTGGATACAACATTGATAATATCGCCGGTCGATGCGTTCAAAAGTGCAACTGATCGTTGTAAAATGCGTAAGTGCAGAATTCAATTGTCTTCAGAAAGYACTAGAACGATATAGTCACTGGAAGAGATTACCTCGAAGATATTCACGAACAAAATGCAATGTAGTGAAAGAGGCAATTAAAAGTTAAATAGACATGTGCGCAAAGGAAAAACATAAGATTAGCGTGAGAAATTATTAAAGGATATATATGTGCAACTCCGAAATTCATGTATATATAACATAAGATTTATCTTTTAAATAAAAGTGATGAATACTCTGGTGAATAAATAGAAAAGAAAATAGGATCAGGGATTAAATGTACTAATACGACATAATACTCAGATGTGGGTTTTGTACCATTCCCGGTATGGACAATACCCCCATATATTCCCGGTATGGCCCAACACCCCCATATACGTGTTGTTCATTTGTTATAAACAATAATATTAGTAATATTGTTGTATAATGTGGTCATTGCATGCGTCGGGCTTTAAAATCTGCAGTTGAGAATTAGAGTGGTTTTCATTAACCCGTGAAACACACTTTAGCGTATTTAAGTCGCTATTACACTTTGGCTCTTTTGTTTTTTATTGTCTCTACGCGACTATTACGATCTATTACACTCTAATCATTACACTTTGTTTCACGGGCTTATGAAAACCACTGTATTACACGGACAAGATAAATTGATGTCATTATCCTTATCATCATTAGMATCAATGACGATTTCTTGTAATGAAATAACATTAGCGGTTTTATCCCCTATATATCTCTAATGCCTCCAACGTGTGTACGACCAAAGGTTGTTGTATAACTGKTAACTTCKGCTGGATTATCCATCTGGGTTTATTAGCCTTTACCTCAAATATGTATATACTGCGCGCTAGTTAAAATGGGCAAACGGGAAATGTGTCAATGAAGATACCAACTGAAAGGAATTATGGGTATGAAATATCGATGGAATATTCGCCTAAGGCTGTACATTATCTTGACTTGAATTATATGAAGAATTTACTATTGTTGGACAGGGTCTTGATTAAATTAAACTGCAATTATCGGTTTACACTAATGGGCTCCTAATAATGAGAAAATAGTTTCTTTTCTCTACTCTTAGTAGACTACTTCCGGTCGTTCAAACCTTTTTTTAGGAGTCGCAGGTATGTCTGGTGCGATTTCAACAGTTCCTCTAAACATAAATTTATCAGTTTTTCGTCCCTGGAGCTCATGCCTTATTACACATGTTCAAAAGCATATTATGTACCCACAACTGAAATCCAMTCCTTCACGACAATTCGCGTGTAAATCCACCACTTGTTCAGACATAGCTTGTCCTAATAATAAAACTGGATTTCATACTTTAAGTACAATGTTATTTATCACAGATGTAACCAATCCACCACCACGTATCTACTTCCATATGGCTAGTGCCTATTTGCCTCCTTGTGGGCCAGTCATTAACAGATATATTAAACTATCAGAGCTATGACATCTATTATCCGACCAGTCAAGATATTTCGATGCATGTGGCTAAAAGATGCGGCAAGGACTATAGAAGAGTATGTCCGCCAACCCATGTTTTCCGCTGTTCGAGTATGTTGCGGTTACTAATGCCATCTATTAGAATACGTGATTCCTTTTTGTAGATAAACATTATATTATCAGTGAGGGAATTTCCACTAAGGAATAGGACATGTGCGGGCTAAAGTGTAATATTACACATATTATCAACCAAAGTAGTCAGAAAACATCTCCATTATTGTATTCAAATGCAAAACAACGTTTGTAGACGAATTGACGGCGTTTATTTTCTTGGTGTGATTCTTTTCTTACTTACACAAACACYGAAGATAAAGCTGGGTGCATATTTTGTCTAAACGAGGTATTGTCTGAGACAATTTGTTTGATTTAATTTTCCGACTATTTCCCCACAACGATAACGCAATGATAACCCTTGACATGTACGGGGACTCTTGCTTCCTAAAACGGTTGTAAGTTGTTTGACTATATGCTGCATTTTTAGCTTTGTTTGCACTTTCGCCAAAGTTAAAACGAATCATAAATAATTCTGTCAGTGTTTTCACAGTTCTTTTTTTCTTGTTTGATTTTTGTTTGTCCATCAATATTTGTGGTCGTACAATTTCCTTTTTTGCCAACGCGATGATGGTTCGAATTCGAAAATTACTTACTTAATCATTACTTCATSAAGTTAAAGTAGTATTTTGTATTAGCATAAATATTTGAAGCATATATTTAGTGTAAATTTAGATACCTTACGCGAGGTAGGTGAAAAACCATTTGCTGACAATCGTTCGGTAAACAAGGGAACCTGTGCCATTTCATTATGGCGTAATGCCAAAAGGAAAAGGAAGGAAAACAGCYAGCTCTGACAGCCATGTGCGAATTAGAGATCATTACAACAGTTTTTCGAGAAAAACAAGCTCTCTTTTGTTTTCCATCGACTGCTCGCACAATAAAATCACTCAACTTAAAGAATGACYGCCATTCAAAGGGCATAAGTTGCTGTTGAAAAATTGCTTTTTAATGCAAATTGTGAAACAAAGGTCCAGCTTTGGCAACAAACAACACGACCTTGCGATATACAACTCGAATAGCATTAACCAAGAAGACGTGGTAAAAAATGAGCTGAACGAAGCGTGGATTGATAAGGGCATGTGCCGAGTACATGTTAACGTTCAAATACGGTACTTAAGCTTTTAGAAAAATTATTTAACCTCAAATTTGACTGCCACATTTTAATGACAGCCGTGTTTAAATTTGCTTTGGCTAAGTGCCGTCAACCCTGTTCGACACTTCATTACTTTGTAGTGATAGATACAATGTGCTATCTACTATTTCAAAACGTCGAGACGGTCTTTTCAAGACGTCACTAACTGTTTCTTTCTTGGACTGTTATATCTTTTAGGAGTGAGCCCACAAACGGAGTTTAGTCAGCGGCATCTTATAGTATTCTTTCAAAGGGAAATTAATTTATAAACAAGTCAAGCAAGTATTTTACGCAAACATCATGGCACAGTGGATATCCCAAGCTTTGCTGTTATTTTACCTATTATTATGTTCAGTGGAAATGGGAGAAATTTCAAGTGGTAAGGTTGCCTGCCCTAAACAGTGTTCGTGCGACGAAAATATCTCAAAAATCTTTTGCGGCTATCATGCCGATGAAAGATTTCAGCAGCTTYACCATGTGCCWGAGAATATTCCAATTAGAACAACATTGTTATCGATACATASCAAYATCATCGCCAAGATTAATGAGAATTCTTTCCAGAATTTAACGTCTTTGACGAATCTGAACATGAGACAGAATCATCTCGTGGCGTTACCAAACAGAGTATTTCGTGACTTGGCTTCACTAAAGTCRCTCAATTTAGCCGACAATAAGATATCTTATTTGCCTGATAATGCATTTGAAGGTCTGTATTCCTTAGAAGAGCTTTATCTAAATGGTAATCAACTACGTACAATTCCAGAGAAACTGTTCAGTGGTTTAAAGTCGCTGCGTCGTCTGGATCTCCACAAAAACGCGTTACACGTTTTTCCTGACAAGGCTCTTCACGCTACAATAAACCTAAAAGGACTGTGGTTGAATGATAATAAGTTGACAAGTATTGAAATGAATACGTTTAAAAACCTGAAGGAACTGGAAATACTGTATTTAAGTAACAATTATCTGAATTCATTGGATCGTAATATTTTCAGCAAAATAGCGTCTCTTMAAATTCTCTTTGTTAATCGAAACAACCTGACTGATCTACCKCATGGGATATTTAATTCTCTACCAGATGACGCAAAGGTCTCTCTTTTGAATAATCCTTTTGTTTGTGATTGCAAGCTTCAGTGGCTCAAAACATGGATCAATAAAATGCGGTTTATTTATTCGCGCGACAACATACGCTGTTCGTATCCATCYAAGCTTGCGGGACAATCTATAGTTTCCATTCCAAGTGAAGAGTTTATTTGCAGTAGAGGTCAATGGAGCTCGTGGAGTGTCTGGAGTACGTGTTCCAAAACATGTGGGCACGGTGAAAGGGTTTCRGTACGAACATGTGTCACTACCGTGGAGGGGAAGGGTAGGGCTAAATGTCCCGGCAGTGTCGTCAAACGGGGAACATGCATTGACAGACAGTGTCCTATTGACGGAGGGTGGACTGATTGGTCTACTTGGACAAAATGTAGYAGGACGTGTTCGTCGGGAAGAAAAACACGATATAGAACCTGYAGCAATCCTGCSCCCCAGTCAGGGGGGAGAAATTGTGCTGGAAGTAYTCGTGAAAGTAAAAAGTGTAAACKTCCGCGTTGTCCAGTWAAAAAGAACTGGACAGTGTGGTCTGCTTGGTCTGACTGTAGCGTTACGTGTGCTTTTGGAAGACGAACACGGACAAGACTGTGTTTGGATGTTAAAAGTTGCAAAGGGAATCCTACGGAATCAACGTCGTGTTATTTAGGGGCTTGTCCTGTCAATGGTGGCTGGTCTTTCTGGTCTTCCTGGACAATATGTAGTGCAACTTGTTCTAAAGGAGTGAGAAGTCGCACGAGGACTTGTAATAATCCGATACCAAGATATGGAGGCTTGYTATGCGAAGGTAATTCTACTGAAGTACAGGCRTGCGCATTAATCTCATGCCCTGTGAATGGTGGCTGGTCGTCATGGTCACAATGGAGTACTTGCAGTAAAACGTGCTCAAATGGGATAAGATTAAGAAATAGAACGTGTACTAATCCAATCCCAAAGTACGGAGGAGAGAATTGTTCGGGAAATTCTTTTTTGCAGGAGCCTTGCTTTAGCAGGCCTTGTTCTAAGTGGAGTCAGTGGTCTAAATGGACTGCGTGTAGTGTTTCTTGTGGAAATGGTACACAAATAAGAACTAGGTCCTGCTCTTATAACGATTGTTTGGGCCAAAATAACCAATCACGGCCGTGTATTAAGAATTCTTGTCCTATTCATGGTGGGTGGACCTTATGGTCACCTTGGCTTCCTTGTAGCAAATCTTGTTCAAATGGAACTACAACTCGATTTAGAAACTGCAGTGAGCCTACCCCACAACACGGCGGTAAATTCTGTACAGGAAAATCAGAAGAAATCGAACCATGTATTTTAACATTATGTGAAGGACTGTGGTCRGTTTGGTCACAATGGAGTGAATGTAGTACTTCTTGCTCTAGAGGCAYGAGACATAGACATCGTAATTGCACAACCGCARGTCTACAATACCATAAGCARTGTAAAGGAATTTCATCTCATGTGGAAGAATGTCGTTTGCGTGAGTGCCCTACTGATGGGGCGTGGTCGTTATGGGGTTCTTGGACTCCTTGTAGCAARACTTGCTCAAATGGGACAAAATCAAGAAACAGAACTTGCACAAATCCRAAGSCTTCTCATGGCGRTAAGCAGTGYCAGGGAGTCAGTACTGAATCAAGTWTATGTATTTTGAATGATTGTATTCTGTACCAATGGAGTGTATGGTCAGCATGGTCTAATTGCAGCGGTACGTGTGATAGGAGTTTCAGGACTAGAAATCGTGCWTGCACAGAAAATARYAAACTTGTAAATAATTCGTTTTGCTCTGGAAATAGTTCGCAGCATATATCTTGTAACTTAACATCATGTGTTGTTATTCCTTCCTGGAATTCCTGGTCAAGTTGGACACCGTGCTCTGCTTCWTGTGGTCTTGGAAGGCAAGATCGATCGCGGAATTGTTCCGCGTCGTCATTAGACAATAACCAAAATCAGTGYRCAGRTGCGCGTGTAGAGTCACGCTCTTGTTATATGATGGATTGCGTGACACCACAAGGCTGGTCTAGCTGGAGTAACTGGACGAAGTGCTCTAGCACATGTGGATATGGTGTTCAAGTAAGATCACGTTTTTGTCGWGGAGTTAAAGAGTGCAGAGGAGAAAATCTGATGGTAAGGAGTTGTCTATTAAAAACATGTGATATTTTACGGTCTAACCAAATAAGCTCGTTGCCATGGACACAATGGACGAAGTGCTCAGCCACTTGTGGCCGAGGTCACCAAATGAAATGGAGATTTTGTTTTATTCCAAATTCAAACTCGTCTAAGTGTTCCGCCGCAACTCCATTTGAATCTTATACACGTATATGTATGATCAAACCTTGTAACTATAGCTCTGTCTGGACAACCTGGACTAAATGGGAAGGTTGCACAAGGTCTTGTCATGCAGGTCGTGTTAGGAAAAGGGTTCGGTACTGTCTTAGTAAAGCTGTAGGTATCAAGTGTAAAGGAAAAGCAGTAGACATAAGACCTTGTAACAAATCCGACTGTCAAGCTACAAAGCCACCAGCAACTTATCCTCCACTAGTAGAACTTGGTTCTCCTATTCCTTGTCCAGATCCWGGCACACCTCGGAATGGAAACCGTAAGTTTATAGACCAAATACAATAYGGGTCGTATTACGTYGCATATTCTTGTAACAATCATTTTAGTATTCATGGACCAAAGTTAAGACACTGCGAGACTAACAAYCAGTGGTCMGATATACTYCCWGAATGCCGGCCAATTTGTGGTAAGTCCTCCAATGTCTTCGCTCATAGACGACTWAGAATTGTCGGAGGAGGGCCGACCATGCCTGGGGCGTGGCCTTGGCAGGTTGCATTGGAATTTGACACTTTTCAACCTGAATTTAAYAGCTTTCACTGCGGTGGTACTTTGATTGCTGAAAACTGGGTCGTTACCGCGGCGCACTGTGTCGTCTATAAAGATAGTAAGATACCTTATCATGGAGTACGCGTATATCTCGGAGTGCATGACATCACAAGGAGACATTGGGATCAAAACGTCCAGATCGTACCAAGCGCACAAATTATAGCTCATCCTAAATTTAACTGGAAAACCTACGACTCCGACATTGCGGTTATCAGACTTCGGTGGAGAGTAAACATCACCGACTTTGTAAAACCGATTTGTCTTCCTAATGGGTTTCAAAGACGAAGTATGAAGCCTGGAAAAAAGGGCACGATGTTAGGTTGGGGAACTACTGAGTCAAGAAAGCCCGCTACCAAGCTGCGCGAAGTAATGCTGCCGATAGTCGATCATAAAGCCTGTAAAAAGGCCTACGAGAATGAAACATGGCCGGTTACTTCGAATATGCTTTGCGCTGGATATAAACTGCAATCGAAAGACTCTTGYAATCGAGATAGTGGTGGTGGATTTACAGTTTTTGATCAAAGGGCCAGGAAGAGACGGTGGTTCYTAGCTGGTATAATCAGCTGGGGCAATCCAAAATGTGGAATACCAGGAAAATATAGTGTATTTACCAAAATGACACACGCTTTTGTTAGATGGATACGACATCAGATGAACAAGTTTAAACATAAAGAACAAGCTTAAACAATAAGAATATTACGACATATTATATAA